CGTTACCTAGGCAACTGGGACACCTGGAAGAGGTCACATCTGCATCCGCTGAGGTCACATCTGAATTTGATGTGGCCACACCTTTCCCCGCCCATACCCTACATAAGGCCTAGCCCAGGCCCAGACGCTCTCTCTCTTTCTCTCTCTGTTCGTTTCTAGCTCTTGCTCTTCTTTTCTAGCTCTGTCTGCTCTCTCTCTGCTCTAGCTCTTTCCTCTCTCTTTCCCAGCCACGTGGAGTGCCAACCTTGCCTGGTCCCAGCAGGTCTACTGAATAAACCTACCCCTTACCTGAATACCACGTGCGTGCTGGTGCTGTTCTTACTCGGCTACCTCTTTTTAAAAACCTAACAGTCATCAGACAGATGTGGGGTCAAATGAAGCGTTGGTATGATGAGGCTGGGGGATTATTTAGTATTGGCTTCAATTTTCTCATCTGGAAAGCAGTCAGGCAGGCAGGCAGGCAGGCAGGCAGGCAGACACACACACACACACACACACACACACACACACACACACACACACAAAGCAGTCAGGCAGGCAGGCAGGCAGGCAGGCAGGCAGGCAGGCAGGCAGGCAGGCAGACACACACACACACACACACACACACACACACACACACACAGGAAGGCAGGCAGGCAGGCAGGCAGGCAGACACACACACACACACACACACACACACACACACACACACACACACACACAGGAAGGCCATCCGAACAGGCTTTTGCTTGACGATCATGTACACGTTCCTCACAAGTGAAAGCGCAGGAGCGATCAGTTCGCGTCTTCCAGGACGGGACACGGCCTCCTTGCTCCTTCCAGGACCTCCAGCGAGGCCAGACCCCAAAGCTGTCCTTTGAAACCCGGGCGCGCGGGCCCGAGCCACCGGGCGGCGCCGTTTCCCGCCAGGCTACCGCCCGCGGCCTTCCGGGGGCTCGCTGGGTTTGTTTTCCACGCTGCAGGAGGCCGACCGCAGCCCTAGGGAAGATCAGATGTACACACTGGAGAGGGCGAACAGAACGTGAACAGCGCCTTCTCGGAGCAGCGCCGGGCCCAAAGAGCGGCGGGAAAAGCCCAACACCAGAAACCGCGCAGACCCCAACGCCGGCGCTGCCATGGCAACCAGTGCGGCGTCTGACGCCAGCAGGAGGCGTGCGTGCCCAGGTGCATTGTGGGAGGGGACTGGGCAGCCCACCTGGCATGGGAGAGAAAGGGCAGCGTCTGGGAACTGACCTAACCCCAGTGGCACTTGACCTCACAGGACACCTTTTCCGAAAGGAACACTCCGGAATCCGGATTCATGCCTAACGCCTGGGTGTTAAAACACCTTTTCAGGAGCCCAGCCCCTGGGGGAGGCCCACAGGAAGACCTCAACTTTGAGACCAGCCAGGGAGACTGAGATCTGAGAATCATGATTCAAAGCCAGACCAGACAAAACAGGCCCCGTGAGACTTGTATCTCCAATCAACCGCTCAGAAACTGGCAGTGGCGCTGGGACTCAAGTGGTAGATTGCGAGCCTTGAGCTAAAGAGCTCAGGGACAGCGCCTAGGCCCAGAGGTCAAGTCCCAGGATTAGCACAGGAAAAAAAAAGATGAAGACAATATAATAATAATTAATCTTTAAAAGATTGCCTCTTAAAAGACAGATCGGGTCGTTTTAGCAATCAGTAGTGCAGACTTCTACATCAGAGGGAAATTGGGAATGGGATGTAGGTCAGGGGCAAAACTCTTCCTTGACTTGGTTCAGCTTGGAAGATAATGGTATTGACACAGTGATGCCCTCCCTGGAAGAGGGTCAGAGTATTTCCCATTACTGAAAATGCCCAGCCTCAACTGGAGAGCAAAAGAAGGTTCCCTGAAAGCATCTGCTCTGGGAGCAACCCCTTGCTTCAGAAATATATTTTCTTCTTATTCTACATCTTCTATGTCTATGCACTTGCTTCATTCTGTCATGTCCAACAGGCTATTTTCATCATTTAGCAATGTTGCTCATGGTTTGGGCTATACCCTAACCAGGACCATCTGCACATATGTGAAATGCTTGTAGCCAGTATTTTGCCTTTCTCCTAATCTTGATTGGAAACCATCTTTGTAAATGTGTTTTTTTTTTTTTTTTTTTACTTGGAATGTAGTTTAGTGGTAGTGGTTGCCTAGCACACTTGAAGCTCTGGCTTCAGTCCCCAGCACGAAAGAAAGAGAAGCTTCAGCACCATTGTGGAAACAGTCGGGGCGCCCTACAGATGCAAACATGTAGTACCTATACACAACAAAATTATCCACAGCCATTAGAAAGAATATTATGTCTTTGCAGGGAAATTGATGAGCCTAAAACAAATCAAGCTCAGAGAGACAAATGGTGCATATTTTCACTTTTATATGGGAACAATCTAAAATACATTGGGACATGATAAATTTATACATGACTCTAGGCTTTAATACATTGTGAGACCAAAGGAAGATATTCTTAGGAGAGTAACACAAAGGCACAATGCCAATGTGCAACTCATCATATAAAAATAAGACAGGTGCTGGTGGCTCATGCCTGTAACGCCAGCTACCTCAGGAGGCTGAGATCTGAGGATCATGGTTCCAAGCCAGCTCAGTCAAAAGTCAACAAAGCTCATCTCCAATAAACGACTCAAAGAAGCTAGAAGTGGTGCAGTGGTTCAAATGGTAGAGTGCAAGTCTGACATATCGCCTGGCAAAACATAAATATATATATATATTATATATATATATATAATATATGAACAGATATCCAAAATGAACTCTAGGAAATGGAAACAAGAGGATTTTTTGTTATTACTGTTTTATTTTACTATTGTCTTCTTTGTTCATTTATCTATCTTTGGAGGGGAAGGGGACACAGAAAAGAAGGACAACTGGTGAAGAAAATGGAGCAGTGACACTCACTGGACACTGTTGAAAATGAACTATACAACCTTGGGTGGGGACGGAGGGAAAAACTGGGAGAGACCGAGGAAGGGGTGACACTGTCCAGAACAAAATGTACTCTTTACCTAAGTTATTAATTATAACCCCTCTGTTTATCAACTTTATAATAACAATAAAAATTAGAGGGCTGGGAGGGTGGCTCAGTGGTACAGTGCTTGCCTCGCATGCATGAGGCCCTGGGTTCGATTCCTCAGCACCACATAAACAGAAAAAGCCAGAAGTGGTGCTGTGGCTCAAGTGGTAGAATGCTAGCCTTGAGCCCAGAGTTCAAGCCCCATGACTGACAAGAAAAAGAAAAAGAATTAAAAAAAACCCTAGAAGTTTCAATTAATTACTTTGCTTCCATCTTTGAGCTATGCACACAGGCTTCTCCCTTGTCTTTCCAAAGTTAAGGTCTCGAAGTTTGATCTAGGCTGGTCTGGAACTTGAGATTGGCCTACTTCAGCTCCCCTAGTGATAAGATTATGGGTGTATCACAACATACCCCTAGGCATTTTCCTTTTTCAATAAAAGTACTTGAGTTGTCAAGTTTCATGTTTTTCAGGCTCGTGTTTACTAATAACCCATTGTCATTAAATATAAAGACACTATGCTACCGCAATTGCTAAGTCCTGTGACAAAATAATCACTATTATTTCTCAGTTTTCCACAGCAATGATTCTACTTATACTTAGAAAATGAGACGTCTTAGCCAGGCACTGGCAGCTTATACCTGGAATCCTAGCTACTCAGGAGGCTGAGATCTGAAGATCTCTATTCGAAGCCACCCTGGGCAGGAAAGTCTATGAGACTCTTATCTCCAATAAACGACTCTGAAAAGGCCAGAAGTATCAGTGTTCAAGGGGTAAAGTACAAAGTCCCTGGAGTACAAAGAGGCTCAGGGACAGTGTCCAGGCCTGAGTTCAAACTCCAGGACTGGCAAAAAAAAAAGTCTTTTAGGTACCACCTACAAAAGTAAGCGACTGCTCGAGAATTTTATAGTTTGATTAGAGCAGGTGAATAGGGCTGAAGTCATTTGTAATTCTAACTACTCAATTGAGAAAGTGAAATCTAAAGACAAAATTGAATGCCTGTGCAGGCAGATAAATCGTTATCTCAATTAATGACCAAAAAGCCAGAAGTAGAGATGTGGCTCAGGTGGTGGAACACCAGTCTTGACAAAAAAGCTAAGGGATAAGCCCAGTACCAGCACAAAGAAAAAACTTCCTAGCACACATTTATAGTCCCTGTTTCTTGGTTGGCTAAAGTGAGAGGATCCTTTGAGTACAGGAGTTTTACATGAGCCTGAGCAATACATTGAACTGTCTCAAAAGTAAAATAAGTCTTAAAAATCAAAGTTTGAAATTCCTCTAATTGGCTCCTTTTCAACCACAATTCTTCTGGAAGCAAGGGATCGCCTCCTGACTCTTTCCTTAATTGATCTATCAATGTCATCCTTCAGTGTTTAGCTACCCCAAACTAATAAGACACACTTCTTGCTTTAAATCATAGAATAATACATTTATTCAAAGTTTCTCAAGACTGAAGAGGGCTTTCACTATACATTACCATAAGAAAAGCAAATAGTAAACTCATTCCGAATCTTCTCCCTTGGCTGTCCCTCAAAGTCTCACAACCAACAGTGGCTCCTCCATTTTTTTTATTTTCTCATCAAAACATTATGGACCTCTGTTTTCCTCCTTACTATCCCCTCTCATCTCACCTCCAACCTCAGTTCTTTCCCTCTGGTGGAGTTGAAGGGGACAGGAAGCGCAGGAAGGTGTGTTAGGAAGGGAACGAAGGATGTCTTTTGGTTTGCTCCAGGAAAATACATTTTGTTTTGTTTTCTGCTCAAGGCTGGCATTCTACCACCTGAGCCACAGCTCCACTAGAAAAAAAAAATCACTTTCTTGGATGCCTCTGGTGCTTGATTACAAATCCAAGGCCTCTTGGAAATATTTTCAAAAATTACTGATTGGTACAGACTCTTTTTGAGTCTCAAGCATACTGTCATTCTTCAGTTGTACAGTCTGATCATCTCACTGTATTTTAGAACACAGCAAAAGCTATTTTTGACGGTACCTTTCCGAGGCCCAAGCAAGACTCCACTTTAAATTGACAAGCAGGAATTTGAGAGCCCGTGTCCACTCTTCCACCGTGTTGAGGTGGGTCCGGATGGAGTACCACTCCCCGCTGCCCTTGGCATCCTCTAGCGTGCCCAGCTCCGGATGCATGCTGTAGGGAAGGCACAAGCCCCCCCGGCCCTTCTCCGCCTCTTCCTTGAACTGTTGCATGCAATCTAGGAAAGCCATCATGGCGCGATCAAATGTGTTTTCCAAGAAGACATTCTGCTTCCCATCGGAGAACAAGGGCAGGCGGACACCGTCACCCGTCAGCGACTTCAGATAGGAATGGTTTCCACGGGCCACGAGTTGGTACCTCCGAAACTTGAGTCCAATGGTATTGGCGAGGGCGAGGAGCAGCAAGGCCGCCTGTCCCCAGGCAGCGCTGATCTCCGTCCAGCTCACGGGGACGTGGGGCAGGTAGCCCAGTCTGAAGTTATTGATGACGCCCAGGGGGCCCTCCTCCCAGATCTGGAAGGTGACGTCGAAGATGCTGGTTGTGCTCAGCTTGTCCAGCTGGCCCCGGGCGGACCGCAGCTGGTTCTCCACGCTGCTCAGCTGGTCCGTCAATTCGAGCCGTTGCCACTCCAGGGCGCAGTATTCCTTCCGGTACTGCGCGGCCTGCTGGTGCAGCTCGGCCGTCTCTGCCTGGGACGCCTGCAGGTCGTGGGCCGCTTGGGCCCAGGCCTGCTCGGCGTCGGCCAGCTCCTCCGTCAGCCGGGCCTCCGCCCGCTCCAGCTCCCGCAGCTCTGCCCGCAGCCGGCTGTCCAGGGCCCTCCTGTCCTCCGGATCCACCAGCAACTCCGTCTCCAGGGCACGCCGGTAGGCCTGGCAGTCCAGCTCCGCCTGCGAGAGCCGAGCGTCCACCTGCTCCAGGAGATGGTCAGTACACTCCTGGCACAGCGGGTGCTCCACCGCTTTCTGGCCCGACAGGATGGCAAAGATGTCCACCAGGGTCTTCTGGACGCTGCTCAGAGTTCGGAGGGACACAGCATTCCCAAGCAGGGTGAACTGGCCAGGACAGGCCCTGGATTCCCCGCCCGGGCCAGCCGGGGCCCCGCTGGAGGCGCCGGCCCCGGGCTCTCCGCCATCGCTGGGCTCGCTGGACAAACCGCCGTCGGCGGGCGCCGGGCCCGGCGTCTCGAGGGGCTCGCTGGGCTCCCCGAGCCTCAGGGGCTGTTGGCAGCGCTGGCACAGGAAGCGCATGGAAAACATGGCAGAGGCCCGGGCGCTCGGCTCCATTCCGGCCCCGGGCACTCGGGAAGGTGGTGTTTTTTCTTTCCTCTCCTCAAGATGGATTCTTTTTGCGTACTTCTCTCTCCTCTGGCCAAGCTATTTGAGACCTTTCAAGGGGACCCACCCCAGCTACTCACAAATGCCCCACGGAGGAGGGATGTTTGTGAAAAGCAACCCCGGGACCTTCCCGGGTCCTCCTTTCACAGGTTCAAGGGATTTTTCTTTTTGGAAGTAATCTTTTAAACTTAAGGTCTTATCATGATAGTCCAGCCAAAAGGCCTGATCTCACTTGAGATAAAGGCTAGTCACCTTAACCCTGGCATGAAGGCCCCGCCCTTCATCCCCGGATCCTCTCCTGGGTGGTCATGTAGGCTACTTGCATTCTAAGTTCTGTCAGTACTGATCATTAGTCCTTGGTGTGGGTGTGTCTGTCTGTGTGTGTGTGTGTGTGTGTGTCTGTGTTGATCATTAGTCCTTGGTGTGTGTGTGTGTGTCTGTGTGTGTGTGTGTGTCTGTGTTGATCATTAGTCCTTGGTGTGTGTGTGTGTGTGTCTCTGTGTGTGTGTCTGTGTTGATCATTAGTCCTTGGTGTGTGTGTTGATCATTAGTCCTTGGTGTGTGTGTGTGTGTGCTAGTCCTTGGGTGCTATCCCTGAGCTTTTTTGCTCAGCGCTCGCTCTCTACCACTTGAGTCACAGCTCCACTTACTGGATTGTGTGTGTGTGTGTGTGTATATATATATGTGTTTGGTTAATTGGATTATAAGAGTTTCAGACTTTACTGCCTCGGCTGGGTTTGAACTGCAATCCTCAGATCTCAGCTTCCTGAGTAGCTAGGATTACAGGTGTGAGCCACTGGCACCCCAGCACAGTATTACTCCTTTCTTTACTAGTCATCTCCTAATCATCCAGTAATGACCCTGTCAGCTGTCACTTCCTTCGGGAAGCCTATGTTGTAGCCCAAACTGGTCTCGAACTCAAGATCCTCTAGCCTCAGCCTCATGAATATGGTTTGCTTGGCAGCACCAAGACCAGACTGCCAGAAAGACTGGGTTGGTTCTTTCTCACCCTTCAGGTCTCAGACTAAATTTTATCTGCTCAAGCATTTCTTGTCTTAAATTTGTTGTTATTGTCATCATAAAGTAGTTGAAAAGAAGGGTTACAGTCACCTAAATCATGAGTACATTTCTTTGTGGACAATATCACCCCTTCTTTCACTCAAACATTTAATAGACATTTTAGATGAGTGTGTCTTCTAAGGAATCAGCTATTAAAGCACCTTCCACTGACCGACCACCACCTGTCAACTGGTGTTGAGCTATTTACTATTAGTTTTCCCAGTAGGATATGAGCTCCATCATGCCTAGGGATTTACTCATTTTGAATCACTCATGAAGGTCCACTATGGCTTGCTTATGCTTTGAGTGTGGCTCCTCAGGCTCCATGTGTTAACATTTAATCTTCACTGTGAAGTATTACAAAGGTACACACTTGGGAGCTGGGCCTGCAATGTCAGACTGGAGGAGAATCCAGGAGGTACAGGCCTTGTGATGACAGTCACCAAATCACCAGCCTGAGCTCGAAGGCCAGAAGAATAAAACAATGCAGACTGACTTGTTAAAGTGGGGCTCTGATTTCATGAGCTTTCAGCTGCCACCAAAGTAGAGAGACTCGACAATCATGCAGCAGAAACACAGGTACACAGAAGGAAATCAAGCACCTTTGTGGCTCATGTCCCTCTTCCCTCTTTCTTGTCACCTTTGTGCTTGGAGTTAGTTCCAGTCTCCCATAATGCTCACAGGTCTCATCCCTGATAGCATTTGCTGGGCAGTGTGCAGAGGCTTACTTCTTTGCTCCCATACTCCCTTGCCCCCAGGTAGTCTCTCTCCCAGAGCCATTCCTGGGGCTGTTAGGGTTACTCCCTCCCAGTGTTTCCTTATTCCTAGAGGCACATAACAAAGCATTAAAGTAGCTTTGTAATAAAAAAAAAAAATACAAACACTGAACAAGGTGCTTAAACTTGGGGCCTGTAAAAGGGATTATGGGAGGTGGAAACTTGGGTTAGATAATGTCATCTTGGGTGGAACTCTCCTAGCCCACCTCCATGCTCAAAGTCTTTGGCTTTCTAAGAAGAGAAAGAGACTGAAATTGCACACACTCAGTCTCTCCCCTTGGATGGCCTGTGCTGCCCTGGGACTGTCAGGAGAAAGGCCATCACCATATATGGGCCTTCCATTTTGGATTTCTAGAACTGAGGAAAAAGTTTTTTTTAAAACTTATGTAGGGGGCTGGGAGTGTGGCTTAATGGTAGAGTGCTTGCCTGGCATTCATGAAGCCTAGGTTCAATTCAGTACCATATAAACAGAAAAAGCCAGAAGTGGTGCTATGGCTTAAGTGGTAGAGTGCTTGCCTTGAGTAAAATAAACTCAAGGTCAGCACCCAGGCCCTAAATCAAGCCCCAGGACTGGGAACAAAACAAAACAAAAAACCTGGGGCTGGGAAGGTGGCTCAGTGGTAGAGCGCTTGCCTTGCATGCCTGAGGCCCTGGGTTCGATTCCTCAGCACCATATAAGCAAAAAGAAAAAAGCCGGGAGTGGAGCTGTGGCTCAAGTGGTAGAGCGCTAGCCTTGAGCTGAAGAGCTGAGGGACAGCGCCCAGGCCCAGAGTTCAGGCCCCACAACCGGACCCCCCCCCCCAAAAAAACCTATCCAGACAAGCAATAAGCTATGGGCAATAGAAAAGGGACAAATACATCAGATCAGTGATTAACAACACAAAATGAATTTGAATGGGTTTATCCTTGCACCCACTTTGAAAGGCAAGTGTCATTTTGCCATTAACTACTGAATTCTGTCCAAGCTTTTTATTTTTGTCTTAATTTTTCTTAAGGTGTTTTTCTTAGGCAGGTACTGGTGGCTCATGCCTGTAATCCTAGCTACTCAGAAGGCTGAGATCTGAGGATTGAGGTTCAAAGACAGACAAGCAGGGAAGTTTTTGAGACTCTCATCATCAGTTAAACACCAGAAAACTGGAAGTGGTGCTGTGGCTCAAGTGGTAGAGTGGTAGAGCCGAAGAGCTCAGAGGTAGCACCGAGGCCGAGTTCAAGTCCCATGGGCCCCCGCCTCCCCCCCAAAAAAAAGCAAGTTTGGTTTGTGTGTATTTTGTTTTTTTTTTTTGAGCTTGAACTCATTGTGTTGGTGCTATCCTGTAGCTTTTTTGTTCAAGGCTGGTTTGAGTCACAGTTCCATTTGTGGCTTTTTTGGTTTGCCTTTTTTTTTTTTGTCAGTCATGGGGCTTGAACTCAGGGCCAGAGTGCTGTCCCTGAGCTTCTTCAGTCAAGGCTAGTTAGTGCTCTCTACCACTTTGAGCCACACCACCACTTCGTTTTCTAGTGGTTAATTAGAGATGAGTGTCACAGACTTTTATGCCCAGGCTGACTTCAGTGATCCTCAGATCTCAGGCTTCTGAGTAGCTAGGATTACAAACGTGAGCCATGGCACCTAACTACTTTCTTCATGAAGCAAGAAAATAAATTAGTTTGAAATGACATTTTACTTAAAAAACCCCAAGCAGAGCCTCTGTTCCTTCCTCAGTTATAATCTTTTATCTTTTTCAAGATTTAACTTTTCTGACATCTGTGTCTTGTCCAGAAATGAAAAAAGCATCCAGGCATTCCTTAGAGGCAGGAAACTAGGATGGAGACTAGAGTGGAGAAGGCAGCAGCCACAAAGCATGCTCAGAACCCATGTTTCTATGAACCTGAGCATGTTCTTGAAGTTATTGTGATGCATCCTAGTCAAAGGGCCTGTGGCCTCCTAACTAGTCTTCATTTTTAGTATCTAAGGCTGGGAGGATGCAGCAGCCACCATGACCCATTATTTGCATTTTCTCCTATTCCAACAGGGACTACCTTTAGCTGTGCTTGCATTCTTTTTGAGACCAAAAATTGTCCAGTGCCAGTGGTGCATAAGTCTGATGAGGGTGGTGCCGGTGGTGAGCATACTTCATTTGGATCATGAGGGATACATCTGTGCTATATACTGCATTTTGTCTGTCCTAGTCTATAGTTAAACACTTCTGAAAATGTTAGTGGATGGAATGCCAATTTAATGGATTTTCATTTCAGTGATACATAAAATGATGCCTCTTCCAACCATGTCTTAGATTTGATGGAAGTACTAGAAGAAACAGACTAGGAGAAACTAGGAGAAACAGAAAACTGCATGGCATGTGAAGTTCTTACAAAGCTAGGATCTTGCATTTCCATTGCAATAATAGAATATGTAGCAATCCTCCCATCAATACTACCCAGTGATTTGATTTTCGCCAACCTCTCCAACTCCCTGGAGTAAACAATTCTGACTTCTATAGTTACCATTTTCTTATATAGCTGTTTGACTCCAGTGTACATGTCTAAATAATCTCTTTATTTGTGCTGATAGCAGGGCTTGAACTTAGAGCCTGTCCCTTAGCTTTTTTACTCAAACTGGTACTCTACCACTTGACCTATATAGCTCCACTTCCAGATTTGTGTTAGGTTGTTGGAGATAGTCTCACAGAACATCCTGCTCAAGCTGACTTGGAACTGGGATCTTCACTCAAGCCTCCCGAGTAGCTTAAGATTACAGGTATAAGCCATCAGTGCCCAGCTCTAGCTTTGCTTTTGTCTACCTTTATTTTCCCCTCACACCTTTCTCTTATAGCTAACAGTTAAAGATGACAGGGCATTAATCCTGTGGCTCCCAAGTCTAGATTTTACTACTTGTTCTTGTGTCACTCCACTGTCCTTGGTTCTCTTGCAGTTTGCAAGGTGCAGAACCCAGAAGTCTAATTCAAATAATCTCTACTTCCTCTGGCAGAACAGGCAATGTAGCTTTCCTTGGGAGGCACAGGACAGCAGGTTGTCTCTCGATGATGCTCAGTTGCAAAATGATTTTACTTCACCTCAACTCCTTATTAAAGGAGATTTTCCCCTTCATCTTCCCCTTCGTAAGTCAACAGTTGTTCACGATGGAGACAGGAAGAATGCTTGCCTCCCTGCTCTATTTTCAAAATATACTTCATAGTCCTTTGATAATAGTCAAGTTGTTAACTTCTTTTGCTTATGGATAGGTTTCAGTAGATTGCAATTACTTGGGAATAAGATTCTCATCATTTTTTTTTAAACTAAAACACCCCTGTATGAGATGGATCTAAAATCCTGTCTGTAATTTTAAGTGAAATTAGTTCTCTGAAACATTAAGAAAGCATGATCATGAAAAATTTCTAACTTAAAGTTGTTCTTAGATGTTTGAGACTAGGATATTCTGCGCAAACTTTTTGGTTGACTTTGTATTCCATTAATTACCTCTTGGTTAGTCTGTCTCTCTCTTAGCAGTTACCCTTCAGAAGGGATTGCATTCTGGAAGAGAATCTTGGGAAACTTAGAAGAGTTTCCACAAGTCATAGTCACAGGGACTAGATTCTGTCCTTCAGATCCTACTGTGCGTCTCTTGCACTCACCCATTAGTCACTAAAATCGCCTCCATTTCAGACTCTTCTCAGCTTGGCCTGCTATGCATGGCAATGGCTAGTGAGTTCTCAGAATCATTTGTCTCCACCATCTGCATCACCAAGTAACACCTCACGGCCCTGTTGTTGCTGGAGACTTAGCCTCATCCTTTTATTATTAACCCTCATCCAGTGGTTTCCTTGCCTGATGTCCTGGCCTTCTGTTCCATCTTTGAGCATTTATGGTATACGTTTATTATTTTTGACTTTTAAGTAGTCTTTCAGGTGAAGAGATAAATATCTGCAGATAATACGATTGTGTAGCAGGAAACATTCACAGGAAACTCAAATAGACTCTTGTATTTAGTTTATATTTTTTCCATCAGATTGGATCTCTTTAATTTTTATGCCTTTTAAAATTTTTTTCTAATTAAAACAGTCTGAGTATCCTCTGTAGTACAAATTTCTAATTTAATTAACTTCCAATTAAAACAGTTTGAGTCTTTATCCTCTGTACTGCAAACACACCTGTAATTCTTCTACTCCCTGTCATTTCAGACTTTCCCTTGTGTAACTGGCTCTCTCTTTAACACCTGCCCATTTTTTCCCAGAGTTCAATCACATATACTGGAGCTTCCGTATCTTACATAGCAACTTAAGGTGCTCATTTTACATAAACACTAAAGAACACTTCAAAAAAGATGGAAGGAAAACAGGCTATTTTGAAGTCTATGATTATCAGTGATGTTAGAAGAAGTAGCTCCTTTCATCTGAGGCTGAAAACAATTTTCCTCATTGTTAACCTATAATTCAAACCAAACTCTTGAGAGTAACTACCTCTCCCATTCCAGCAATTTTATTTTTAACTTAACTGTGAAGAAGAGCAGGAAAAAGTGGGGGAAAAAAAAGAAAACCCAGAGAAATAGGGGGATTTCCTTGAGGATAAAAAGATTATAGAACTGTGATCTTTCTTATATTGGACAACAGTACAGAATATCTTTAAATGTTTACCATCTCCAAATGGATTTTTCTCTCTAAAGTTAAGACAACCAAAAAAGAAAATGCCAGAACATTATTCTATTTAGCTTCTTATGAAAATATAAAAAGCTGGGGAAAAGAAACAATTATATAAGTAATATACAACATGTATTCTGCATACTTTAAAAATAAAATTGGTCTAAGAATAAATTTTCTAGGCTGGTAAGTGCCCCATTTTCAAGCAGGGAATTCAAACAGATGATGTTCGTGTAGACACCAGTCACCAGCAGCTACACTACTGGAATATTGCTCTCTGAACACGTGCACACTCGGGTTTGTTAAATATATCCTCTTCCGCTTCTGGAGTGAGCTGGATGTTATCCCTGACTGGAGATAGGGGCTTCTTATAAGAAGGAAGCTTTTCAGAGTCTCTGCAAAATATAAAATAAATTGGGTACTTTTTGAGTACTGAATGTTAACAGATTGGGACAAGGGAGGAACCAATGCAACAGAGATATACACAAAAAAAAGTAGTTCTGGTAAGGGCTAGAGGTGTGGTTCATATGGTAAAGTGACTGTCTAAAATGGCAAATCTGGTGAATTCATCATATAAATCCAGTGATTTCCCTCTGAACCCCTGGGGAAAACATTATTCCCATTACAATGCTGAGAAATAAGATGAGTCGAAACACTCTAGATCTAAAAATTCAATTTGTTTAACAGATTCTAAAGTCTATGGAATCACAAAGAACTGTCAGATAAGGCCATAACTAATTATATGCAGAATAAGGAAAAAGGAAACTCACTTTTTAAATCCAAAATTTTTCCAGAGCTCACTGATTTTTATCTGCAATCCTGGCTTGTTCTCAGAGTTATGATGGTTTCTCTTCTGGATGCTTGCTGGCTTCTTGCTCAGTCCACTGGCTCGTGCTGGTACTAGGGGCTTGATCTTGGTTGCAGAAAGAGACTCTGCAGAACTAGACTTATGTAGTCCAGGAACCTGAGGATTAAATGTGCATTTTTGTTACTTGTGGTTTTCACAGTCTTGCTACATAAGCCAGGCTGGTCTAGGAACTCATGATCTATATGCCTGAGCCGCCTAAGTGCTGGGGTTATAGGTATGTGTCATGTCGGACCTTAAATTCCCATTTTAACATTACCTTATTAATTTAAAAACATTCTTTATACAGTAGAACCAAAAAGTACTCCATAAGCAATGCATAAAAATACATTTATATGTCTATTAAAGAAATGATCACAATGATTCTAACAGATAATGATGTACAAAGGCATAACGTTTAGAAGTGAAAGAAAGGCAAGCCTCATTCATTTCCTCTTTGCCTGTTGTTCCAGAGAAAAACAACTACTGTTATCAGTTCCAGAAGCTGCATTAAGGCATTTCTACAGAAACCTGCAGTAAAGCATGTTTATTAGTTTGTTTTCCTTCATTCTACTTAATGGTACAGTGTGGAGATTTTTCCATTGGAATGTACAACTGAATTTTATTTTGGACTAGTTGCCTGTTCTACCATTGTATAAGTGTGGCATAATTTATTTCAACCACTATTGGCATGTTCCCACTGGATGGTTCATTTCTGTCATGTGAACATTATAGAGACATTGAAGCTTTGTTGCTTTGTTATGACAGAGAAAGAAGTATACAAAACAAGCTTTTCCAACTGATTACTATAGCAGAGAATATATAAAGAATGAAAAAGTTGAAACAAAAAAGACTGGCTAATCATAGGTTCACAGTTCCTTTTTTTTGGTACTAGTCCTGGGGTTTTAACTCAGGGACTGTTCACTAAATCTGATTTTTCTTGCTTAAGGCTAGCTCTCGACTACTTGAGCCACAGCTCCACTTGTGGCTTTGCTTGGTGGTTACGTGGACTTTCTGCCTGGGTTGTCTTCAAATAGTGATCATCAGATCTTAGCCTCCTAAATAGCATTACAAACATGAGCCACCAGTGTCCAGCAGTTCACAGTTCTTAAAAGGTCTTTTGACAATTCTTGTCAAAGCTTTCAATCACAATACCTCCGAACAAATTAAGTTTTTAAAAAGGCATTTAAATATACACCCACAACATTTTGGTTGCAATGCTGTTTACCATACCAAAAATGGTTTTGGGATAAATTATAGGCTGGGTGCTGGTGCCTCACACCTGTAATCCTAGCTACTCAGAAGGCTAAGATCTGAGGATTAAGGTTTAAAGTCAACTTGAGTAGGAAAGTCTGTGAGACTCTTCATCTCCAACTAATAAGAGTTGTCAAGTGATAGAGTACAAGCATTGAGCACAAAAGCTCAGGGACAGGGCTGGGAATGTAGCTTAGTGGTAGAGTGCTTGCATAATATGCATGAAGCCCTGAGTTCGCCCTCAGTACCACATAAACAGAAAAAGCCAGAAGAGGTGCTGTGGCTCAACTGGTAGAATGCTAGCCTTGAGCAAAAAGAAGCTCAGGGACAATGCCTACACTCCGAGTTTAGTCCCCAGGACTGACAAAAAAATAAAATTAAAAAATTTAAACAAATCTCAGGAACAGTGGCCAGGCCCTAAGTTCAAGCCCCAGAATCTCCCCCCACCTCTGCAAAAAAGAATAAGTGATTATAAAGAGGATTACATAACCCATGCAATGGTATAGAATATAGTTATTATAATAACTAAGCAACTACATTGAAAAATATCTTCTATATAGTATAACACAAAATAGGAAAAAATATCTACAGTAAAAAGTAATGTCCTAGAAAATTTGGAAGGAGACATCTTTTAAAGATCCTGAATACAGGCACGGTAGCTTTTAAATTTGCTCATATTTCTCCATCTGATATTAAGAAATAAATAAGTTTTACCTTCTTCCTTAGAAGTGTGTCCTTCTTTGAAAAATGAGATAAACGTTCCTTGAAGTTCTGGTTACCTTGACTATCAAGTGACTGAATGTTATAATCAGATTCCTAGATTCCCAGATCAAACACAAAAATAAAAATTTACTATGGATTTTTAGCAACTAATATTTAACAAAACAAGATAAATGCAGTAAGAAAGACAATATAAATAAAATACAATGTCACAGAAAATAGACCTAATTAAAAGGATGTAGGTCTATTATGGAAAAGAGGACATTCTCATACATTACTAAGCACAAAACACTGATGTGGGTCTACATCTCTTCTAAGTGTGCAATATGGCCTATATGAAAGAGAAAAAGGGGTTGGGAATGTGGTTTAGTGGTAGAGTGCTTGCTAGCTAGCATGCATGAAGTCCTGGCTTTGGTCCCTCAGTATCATATAAACAGAAGAAGCTAGAAGTGATGTTGTGGCTCAAGTGGTAGAGTGCTAGCCTTGAGCAAAAGCTCAAGGAGACTGCCTAAGAGTCTTAGGGCCTAAGAGTCTAGGCCCTAAGTTCAAGCCCCAGGACTGGCAAAAAAACAAAAAACAAAAAAGAATAACAAAAAATAAAAACCAAAAAATGTCCTTTCAGGGCTGGGAATGTGACTTGGTAGAGTGCTTGCTCAGCATGCACGAAGCCCTGGGTTTGATTTCTCAGTACCACATAAACAGGATAAAACACAAGTGGTGGTCTGGCTGAAGTGGTAGTGTGATAAACTTGAGCATAAGAAGCTCAGGGACAGTGCCCAGGCTCTGAGTTCAACCCGCAGGACTGGCAAAACAAATAAAGAGAAAAAGGGTGTTTTTTCTCAAGCACTACGTCAAATAAACATTTATCTTTGAGGATAACCTGCTCCCCCTGACCCCTAATTTCATCATGCATAACTTTCCTATAGATGGAAGATTTGCTCAAAAGATCAATGAATGAAAGCATTTTGCATGTTTCAAAGAGGAGCATTTTTTGAGTTAAGTATTTACCTTGGGATTCTATCCATTTTAATATTTAAACAACTCACGATGAATAAGACCCCACTAACTTCTACAGACACTAATATGGCTACTCTGGGATAAATTTTACTTTTTTATTTGAGACAGAGTCTCTATTGTTCAGCCTAGTTTTCTTCAACTTTGTGATCATTCTATTTCACCCAATTCAAGTGCTGAGTCTGCAGGCATGCACCATCATCTAAAGTATTTCTTACAGTAAGGGTTATGGGTTATAAGTAAGAACCTAAGATTTATTTTGACCTCCGACTAGAATCTATGATTGGTGGCTTCCACAATGAACTATCAACCGAAGGCTCCAATATTGAAGCAAAAAATTTTCTTCAGAAGCATAGGATGAAAATTAGCTTTAAAATAAAGCCTCAAAACACACAGTAAAACAAAACAGCAAAATCTCAATGGCCCTGTGGCTATTAGAAACAGTCTGGGAATCAAAGAAAGATCATACCAATTTTATATTAACTGTAAGACTTGATTGAATTTTTTTTTTTTCTGCCTGGGTGCTGTCCCTCAGCATTTCAGCTCAAGGCAGTGCTCTACCACTTAAGCCACAGAGCCACTTCCAGTTTTCTGGTGGTTAATTGGAGATAAGAGTCTCATAGACTTTCCTGCCCAGGCTGGCTTTGAACTGAGATCCTCAGATCCCAGCCTCCTGAGTACCTAAGGAGCCACTGGTCCCAGGCTGGCAAAGAAGTCTAAGAAGAATTTACTGTAGGTGCCAGGAAGTGATTCAGTAAGTATTTTTGTAGCAGAGTAGGAGAGATGAGGATTACTTAGCTCAGAAGACAAAAAATGTATGGTGTTCTCTCTACACGACCAGCCTACTGCCAGTGAACTGATATGGCTTGGTATAACCTGGCTGAAAGCTTAGGAAATAGGTGCAACAGGAAGATGTATGCTGGAAAAAGGCAAACAATGCCTAAAAGGAGCTCAGCAAACTTGTGAGGATCCTCCAATAGTGATGCTCTATGAAACAACTCAAGCCACATTGGATGTAGTACCACTGCCAGACCAGCAGGCCCTATTCACTGTGGACCAACTAGGAGGAAAGTGGAGAAAAGGAAAAGAAAATGGAAAAGAAAAAAGAAAATGGCCTGCTCCTAAAAACACAAAAATAAGTCACAAGGTCACAAGGTTTTAGCGTGGGTTTTTTTTTCTTCAATTTGAATCTAGTAAATTCATTTTATTGGAGAACTTAAGTATGTACTTTCAAGGCATACTGACTTATATTCTTTTCAATTTTTGGATTATCAGACATCAAAATATTATATATTACTGTGGGTCTAATTGTTTTTACAACTTAGTGATTATATTTGGTGATGATTAAACAGGGTATACTGATAAGCTCAGTTCTTAAACTAAGATTCCAGAAAGTTATAATGTCATTATGTCACTAGAAAATGCCATTGGATCTTAAGAACAACACAGATTTAGACTTTTTTGGTCTAAGAAATAAAATAAAATCTAGAATAAAAGATATTTTATATAGAATAAGGAATTAGGGTGCTTTTATTAATTGACAACAAAGTAAAAATAATGGTCTTTCAGGAAATTTAGCAGAAATTAAAAAAATATTTTTCCTGAACTACTAAAATATAACAGATATCAACACATCCATAGGGCCATTTCTTTACAACTCTTATCTTTAAATAGACAGAAAAAGCTGGAAGTAGGGGTATGGTTCAAGTGGTAAAGTATCAGGCATGAACAAAACAGCCTGGTGAGCATGCTCCCATTGTTGGCACATACAAAAAAGCAACAGATTAAAGAATAAATTTAAAATAACTCTTCATTCAGTTTAGCATTCTGCTTAGGTGTTAATGGTGCCATTACCAAAGTGGTCAAAGGAAGTACAGAATTATGTTTCAAATGTCCAGATGTGGAAGGCATGACAGATATGCAAGGCAAGCACTCTACCACTGAGCCACTTTCCCAGCATGACAGATACGAAGAAGTTCAAGGAATGAAATGTGATCAAATGAAATTTAAAATGAAAAGTTGTAGATAATTCTTTCAGTTGTCTGATAACAAGTTATTTTCTTTTCCATATGGAATTAAAAAAAACAAGGCTTATATGACTTACCTCTGAATCAGAATCCTTACTAGAAGGCTGAGAAAGTTTTGATGCATTTAAACTGTGTGGGGATGACACTGTGCTTTCCTGAGACTGTGAAGACCAGGTTGTTTCCTGTAAAAGCCGAGATTCATCGCCTGACTCATCACTCATTGGCTGAGACAGAACAGACATAGCACTGTTCTCAGGCAGACAAGGAGGGGAATCGTTCTTCCTTTTAGACTGCTGCAAGCCTGTGCCTACAGAAGGGCTTGGAGTTCTTGAAAAATCCCCAAGACTTCCAGACCAACTAAAGCAACTCCTTAGTGTCCCCAGTGTGGGTGGTGAAATGCTCTGTGTGAATTCGCTGGTTTTGGTAGATTGAGACTCTTCATCAGCAAACACAGTCACATCATCAGAAATCTGGTCCCTTGAATTATGCATGATATTTGTGTCAACCAACTTCTGGTCTTCTAGGTCTGGACAATCTGAATCACCAAGATTAGCAGCATTATCGGTGACAGCAGTGCCATTTAGAGACTGAGTGTTGACTGTCTTTGGTGCAAAGTCAGCAGAATCCACAGAATTGCAGAAAAACCTAACATGAAATGGAAAGAATGGATTATTTCAAGTATTTTAAGGTTAAAAGGATCTCACAATGATTCAAAATGGAATTACAGTCCAGTTCCTTTAAAAAATGTCTCACAGAAAACTAATTTGATAAGTAAAGACAACATGGGTCTTGGATTTTAGTCAAAGTTGGAATTTGTTTTTTTGCTGGTACTGGGCCTTGAACTCAGGGCCTGGGTGCTGTCCCTTAGCTTTTTCACTCAACATGTCCTACCACCTCAGCCATACTTCTACTTGCAGCTTCTTCCTGGTTAATTGGAGATAAAATTGAACAAGGATTGAGCCAGTACTACCACGCAGACAATAAGAGCATTCATGGTATTTTTGATCAGTCATTGTCTTAGGAGACTAACTTATAATATTCACTTAATTCTTTCAAATTTGAAGTTGCTGGGCATCGATGGCTCATGACTGTAATCCTGAGGAAGCTGAAGTTTGAGGATCAAGGGTCAAAGCCAGCCAGGAGGAAAGTCATGAGAGCATTATCTCCAATTAACCACCAAAAGGCTTGAAGGGGAGGGGTAGCTCAAGTGATAGAGTACTAGCCTTGAGCAAAAAGGTATGAGACAGCATCACAGGCTGAGTTCAAGCCCCAATACCAGCCCCAATAACCTCTGAAGTTGTTACAACTGTTAGCTTCAGCTTCTTTTTTTGGTTTCTTTTGAGGGAAAGTACTAGTTTGAATCCTGCACTTGCTAGACTGTACTCTACCACTGAAGTCATACACGTAGGCCTTTTTTTTTTTTCGTTTTTCTGTTTTATTTTTTTATTGTGAAAATACCATACAGAGGGGTTACAATTACATGAGCAAGGTAATGAGTACATTTCTTATCAAGCATTGTTGCCTCCTCCTTTGTTTTCCCTTCCCATCCCTTCCTATCTCCCCCCTCCCTACCCGTCCAAAGTTGTAAAGTTCATTTTTTAACATAATGACTTGTACAGCTCATTGTTTCAATGAGTCCACCTGTATCCCTATTTAAATGGTTTGTTTTTGCCCTTCCCCTCCACTAATTATACCAACATCAAATACAGTGAAAGCAGGGGTTATACCTTGGGGGAGAGTCATAAAAAGCAACAAAGAAATCATCTTACAAATATGTTAGAAATAATTGCAAGAAAGAAAAAAAAAACCATTTGAATACTTATCTTGGGGTTCATTTCACCTAACATCAACTTATCTGACCTTTTCTGCTTGTCTCAGAGATATACTAGCTATTGCAAATAAGGGAAACCATGGGACCTATGTTTCTTTGGGCCTGGTTTACTTCACTTATTATAATTTTTTCCAAGTCTTTCCATTTCCTAACAAATGGGGTGATGTCATTCTTTCTGATGGAGACATAGAATTCCATTGTGTATATATACCACATTTTCTTGATCCATTCATGTACTGAAGGGCATCTGGGTTGGTTCCATATCTTAGCTATGGTAAATAATGCTGCAATAAACATAGTCGTGCTGGTAGCTTTAGTATGGTCTTGTTTGTGATCATTTGGGTAAATGCCCAAAAGTGGGATTGCTGGGTCACAGGAGAGCTCTATGTGGAGTCTTCTGCGGAACCTCCATACTACTTTCCAAAGTGATTGAACAAGTTTACATTCCCACCAACAATGTAGTAGGGTTCCCTTCTGTGTACATCCCCTGTTCAAGTCAAACATCTCATGAATAAAGAAAACAGAAATACAGACAGCCTAGTTCTAGGGCTTAGCTACATTTCTAGTCCCCAAACTACACTGACTCTAAAATCTCATCACTCATCATCTTTCCCCAGCCTGCATTCTGGTAGTAAGAACAGCAAGCTGTAGCTTTTCTCAAGCTGTTTGAGTCTTCTGTGAAGGCACTTGGCTCCAGTCTTTGTCTGCTTCACTCATAATTCATTTAACCCTAAATAGGAACTGCCAAAATATTCATTCCTCCTTCTTACCCTATCCATCCTCTGCCTCATCGATTGATACCTTTTGAAAGCCATAAAAAATTGGAGATTGGAGTGAAAAACTGGGAGAACGTGAGGGAAGGGGATGATACTGCCCCAAAAGAAATGTACCCTTAACCTGACTTATGTAACTATAACATCACCCATTTAAAACAATAATTTTTAAGTACACATGCCTTAACCACTGTACTGTCGGTACTGTATGACATTGTTTATATATATGTATATACATTTTTTCCAACTATAAGCTTCTCAAGAATAAAATGGCATAAAGCTCCCCAAGAAACTACCAAAGTAGGTATAGCCAAAAAGGAAAAGGGAATTGCCCAAATAACAGAATTTCTGCAATATAAAATGTAACCAAAGGGGTGCTGGTCCAATTGGGATTCTATATGGACAGATTGCAGAACTAATTGGGAAGAAACAGCAATGCATTTAGGTCAGAACTAAGACAATATAGAAATCTCCCAACTTCCATTGGGCTTAAGTGCCATAAACTCAGTGTCAACTGAAAATGCTGTGAAGCTGAAAGTACATTTAGTATACCTCGCCTACTGAACAGAATCAGTTGTTGCCCGTCATGATTATGTGGCTGAAAGCTGTGGCTTGCTACTGATACCCAGCATGAGAGAATCACATTCATCTACCACGGATCTGATAGAAGACCAAAATTCAGAACTGATGTACAACAGTTACTGAGTGCATCATCATTTTCACTCCATCACAAAATGGAAATACGCTAAGTCAAACCAACATGTCCAGAATTGTCAGTTCATGATAAATCCTATCGCCCATATACCTCTAGACTCAATTTCAGGAGAAAATAAATACTAATGAAGTATATAATATAGCAGATAAAAAACATTTTGAAGATATAACTATACCTGCTTCTAGTCCCTGGAACTACAATTGCACTACTTTCTTCATTTTTTCTTTGTAAAAATGTTGCAAATTTATTCCTTGACTTCGGTGGCGTCTTTAAGCTTTTCATTAGAGTACTTTCAACTCCCAGTTCAGGCACAAGCATTTCAGAAGAGTTGAGTAATTTATTGTTTCCACAATTAATTTTCTTTGTCTTCTTTATAAATGAAAGAGAATACTGGTTCAACAGATCATCTTCTGACAGCTCTTCTAAATAAAAACAAAATTACCTGTAAATCTTTATTTCCCCTACAGTTGGAAATTAGGTTTCAACATCACAGTCCCTTTTTGGCTACTATAAGAGCAGTTGTACTTTTTTCTGTAGTACCAGCAATGAAAACTGTGCATTCTAGACAGTTGCTCTACTACCTAGGCAACACTTTGAGCCATACTTTAAAAAATAAACAAACAATGCTTCACAGATAGGAATACAAAGATTTTTTTTTTTTTGGGGGGGTCCGGTCGTGGGGCCTGAACTCTGGGCCTGGGCACTGTCCCTCAGCTCTTCAGCTCAAGGCTAGCGCTCTACCACTTGAGCCACAGCGCCACTTCCGGCTTTTTTCTTTTTGCTTATGTGGTGCTGAGGAATCGAACCCAGGGCCTCATGCATGCAAGGCAAGCGCTCTACCACTGAGCCACCTTCCCAGCCCGGAATACAAAGATTTAAAAGCAAATACCTTAGCTATGTTCGATAATTTTATGTACTAGTTAACATTTAGTCAAATAGTTATATAATTTTACATAAAATCACCTCAACTGAAATTTCAGGGCATAATCAATTGTTTGGCTAAATATTTATTATTTCAAATACTTTATATGCAAATTTTGAGGGGCAATTTACATTATAAATGATGACTTTTAAAAAATAATCCAAAAAACCAGCAGCTATGTATTCATTTCATGGATGTTATGATTTTTGAGTATACGTGAATGTTGTGTTGTATTATAGTAATTTGATTAATATTCTTATTACCTAGCTATAAAAACCTGAAAGACTGGTGTGTTAAATGTATTTTGTGGTTTCGGAATAAAGCATATTTTTGGACAATACAAAAAGTTAAAGCCTGAGAGAGACAAAGACACAGGTAAGATGCTTTAAATTAGTTCAACAAATTTTCAGAGCCTGAAAAGCTTCCACTACAGTAATAAACCATAGAGATTATGCTAGTATAATCTTTAACAAGTTGGTCAAATTAGGCTGGAGGTACAAAAAGCCCTCAACTTTTAAAAAGATCTTTCCATCCCTCCTTCCCTTCCTTCCTTCCTTTATTTTCTCTCCTTCCCTTCCTTCCTCCCTCTCTCTCCCTCCTTCCACTGTCTCTCCCTCGCTCCCTTCCTTCCTTCCTTCCTTCCTTCCCTTCCTCTCTCCCTCCCTCCCTCTTTCCCTCCCCCTTTTTCTTCCTTTAACTCAGGACTTCATGCATGCTTCAAGCACTCTACTCTAAGCCACATCTCAGCCTCCTATACTTTTCTAATCAGTTAAACATTATACAAGCAAACACACTGGAACCAAAACATTAAAAGATACCAGAAGACATATTTTTCTTTCAAATGACCTATATATTAAAAGACAACACAAAGATTTAAAAAAAATGAACAGGCTAAACAAAAGTAAAATAAAGATTACCGCAATAGGGATGACCAGCCATCACTTAAGTTTCAAAATATAACCACGCCTACCTTAACATCAAACTGAAGAATTCAATTACAAACTCAGAATACTGCATAAGGTTAATAGAATCTAGTATACTCTTACTTTGCAGAGATACAACAGTGTCTGGATGATGGACAGAAAGAATATTACAACTGGGAATACTTGACATATTCTACAGCAAAAAAGAATTAACACTCACTGTTACAGTTATACAATCACTAAAAAACTGTGTGAATCCAAAGCACAGCCTCAATAAATAAAGAATATCATTGAGCTTGGGAGAGAAAGTTAGGAGGGTCACAATGGCTATTTCTAAATATCTGTGATATCTAAAAATAGACTGAAATTATACCAATATTTTGAGGTTTTCTGTGTGCACATGTGTAAGCGTGCATGTCCATTGCTAAATGGTTGTTTTAAGACAACTTGACATAAAGAACTTACTAGAGGAGCCTGCTACATAAAACAAATAGTTATCTTAATAGTAGAGGAAGAAAATGAAGGAACTAGAAGGTGTCAAGTATACCAAGTATTTTTTTTGGGGGGGGGGGGGAGGGTTCAGTCATGGGGCTTTAACTCTGGGCCTGGGCAACTGTCCCTCAGCTCTTCAGTTCAAGGCTAGCACTCTACCACTTGAGCCACAGCACCACTTTCAGTTTTCTGGTGATTAATTGGAAATAGTCTCATAGACTTTCCTGCCCAGGCTGCCTTTGAACCATAATCCTCATCTCAACCTCCTGAGTAGCTAGGATTATAGGCATGAGCCACCAGCACCCAGCTAACCAAGTATTTTTGTATGTTTTGTTATATTACAGAATTCATAAAATAGGAAGTATCCTTCTGTTTCATATGAACCAATAAAAGTTCAGAGATACTGTCACAAGAAAGATTTACATTCACAATGAAACAAAACATTTTGGGCAAAGATGTATAGCCTATACCCAGCTTAAAAATGTAAGTACTACTAGGAAAGATGAGGAGACCAATAGAAGGGATGACACCGATCACAATGCACTATACTCATAATCTGACCCACTGAATTGATACCCTTTTGTACAACTACTTAACTTTTTTTTTTCGTCGGTTGTGAGGCCTGAACTCTGGGCCTGGGCTGTCCCTCAGCTCTTCAGCTGAAGGCTAGCACTCTACCACTTGAGAGTCAGCCCCACTTCTGGCTTTTTCTGCTTATGTGGTGCTGAGGAATCGAACCCAGGGCCTAATGCATGCAAGGCAAGCACTCTACCACTGAGCCACCTTCCCAGTCCCACTACTTAACTTTTTAAAAAGTAAGTATTTACTAAAAGCTTTGTTTTAATTTGTTGTCAGGTAGCAGAGGAAAAGAAATAAGGGAATAAAAAAGACAATTATTTTCTATGGTCAAAGTTTCATTTGTTCTCAGTCCTTAGTGCTCCACTGTCAGCATTCTGTTCAACATTTTATTGGATGTTCTAGTGAAGAAAATGAAAAGAAAGATCTTAATTGGAAGAGGAGAACTATTCACAGGTGACATGATCATCGATTGGAAAAACCTCACAGACTACAAGAAATAACCAAACTGATGTATAATTTCAGCAAGGTAGCAAAATTTAAGATTTGCATATAAAAATCAACTACATTTCAGTATACTACAAATAAAAAACTGGAAATCACAATAAAAATGAAAATACTGAGGGGCACCGGTGGCTCACACCTGTAATCCTAGCTATTCAGGAGACTGAGATCTGAGGATTGTGGTTCAAAGCCAGCCCTACGCAGGAAAGTCTGTGAGACTCTTTATCTCCAATATCTTTATCACCAGAAAACCGGAAGTGGCACTGTGGCTCAAGTGGTAGAGCACTAGCCTTGAGCTGAAGAGCTGAGGGACAGCGCCCAGGCCTAGAGTTCAAGCTCCATGGAAAAAGAAAAAAAAGAGAGAGAAAGAAAATACTTTACAAAAGCATCAAACAATCAGAAACTTAAAAATATGTTTCAATGCGTATGTGCATCTGACCATACAAAATAATATTTATTGAAATGAACTACAGGAAATGGAAACAAGGATTTTTTTTCTTTTTTGCTGTTTTTGTTCTTTTGTTCTGTTTGTTTGTTTGTTTATATGTCTTCGGGAATGTAAGGGGAAGACAGAAATGGACAAAGGGTAAACAATTGCAGCAATGGTATTCACTGATGTTATGCTGAAAATGAACTATACAACTTGTGGGTGAAGATGAGGGAGAATAACTGGGAAAGAGAAAGGGTGACACTGTCCAGAAACAAATGTACTATTTTCCTGACGTATGTAACTGTAACCCCTCTGTACATTATCTTTATAATACCAATAAAAAAATTGTAAGACTATGTTTGACAACAGATGTACAAGATTTGCAAACTGAGAACGACAGAGCACTGAAGACTGGAACAAATCAAAATGCTCAGTATTGCTAAGATGCCAGCTTTCTACGAACTGATCTGTAGCTTCAACTAGATACCCACAGCCTTTGTTTTTAAACTGACAAGCTAATTGTAAAACTTAGAAGGAAACAGGAATAGCCAAAACAATCCGAGGGGACTTACACTACCTGGTTTCAAGGACTATAAAGCTATAGTTATTAAGAGTGTGTTTGATGCAAAGAACAATGGAGAGAATAACATTACAGACTAATAAAGAGATCAAGAGACACACACTTAACATGGTTAGCTGCGTTTCCATAACTCTGCTAAAGCACTCAGATGCTTTAACAAATGGATTGCCAAGTACAAGGGAAGAGGTCATGATCCCTTCCCTCACCTCATATACATATAAATTAAACTCAATATAAGGGTGAGGAGAGTAAGGGTAAATGGAATGAGTATAAATGGAGTATGTTTTATACATATATGGAAATATCACAATGAAATGTTCCTTGTACAAATTATGTACGCTAATACAAAATTTTTTTTTGAAAAATCAATGCAAAAGCCAGGCACCAATGGTTCACACCTGTAATTCTAGCTAGTCAGGAGGCTGAGATGTGAGGATTGTGGTTCAAAGCCAGCCTGGGTAGAAAAGTCCCCATGAGACTCTTATTTCCAATTAACCATTAAAAACTGGAAGTGGAGCTGTTGCTCAAAGTAGTAAAGTGCTAGCCTTGAGCAAAAGAGCTCAGGGACCGCCACCTAGGCCCAGAGATCAAGCCCTACAACCAACTAAAGAAGAAAATAAAAAATCAATATAAAATGGATCATAGCAGTTGAGCACAGTGACATACTCTATTAATTGCTACTCAGGCAGAGGCAGGAAAACCTAAGTTTGAAGCCAGCCTCAGCTACAAAGAGACACTAAATCTAAGGCCCAAAGCTAAGAGCTAAAACTTCTAGTAGAATATCTCAGTGACCTTAGGTTTGTCAATGATTTAAATATGACCAATAATGTGATACCTACCACTTCGTGGTCTTTTCACCATAGATGACTTCCTTGGAAGACTTAATCCTTTGGTACTAATAACTTGTTTAATGCCCAAGGTACTTGGCTTTTCCTTCAACTGTGTAGCATCGAAAGCATTACTCGGCTCAAGTCTGGAGCAATAATTCTTATGCCAAATGCTACTTCCAGCAGGTAACTTTGGACATGCCTTCTCATTCCAACTATTACTTCTGCAATGGGCAGCCTAAAAAAGTATAAAGAAAAAGGTTACTTGAAGGAGAATATCAAGAAATTTCCTTTTATAGCAACAAAAGTTTCAAATATATTTAAATTACTCTAAAAAATTCTTGAAGTATCTGTACCGTAATTTTCAACTTTACTAAACCTATAGTTTCCTATGAAAGATGTCATACATTCCTAGGTTGATTCCTCATGTAATGAAAGGTAAGCCACCTTGTTTGGGTTCGGTTCATTTCCTTCCTTCCTTCTTTTCTCTTTTATTATTTGATGCCAGTCCTGAGCTCTTTTTGCTCAAGACTAGCTTTCTACCACTTGAGGCCCAGCTCCACTTTCACTTTTTTTGGTAGTTAAGTCTGGTGGTAAGCCTTATGAACTTTCCTGCCCTGGCTGGCTTTGGACCGTGACCCTCAAATCTCAGCCTCCTGAGTAGCTAGTATTAGAGGCATGAGCCACTGGCACTTGGCTTTGTGGTTCATACCTAAGAAAAAAAAAAATACGGGGCTGGGAAGGTGGCTCAGTGGTAGAGCGCTTGCCTTGCACGCATGAGGTCCTGGGTTCAGTTCCTCAGCACTACATAAGCAAAAAGAAAAAAAGCTTGAAGTGGCGCTGTGGCTCAAGAGTGCTAGCCTTGAGCTGAAGAGCTGAGGGACAGCGCCCAGGCCCAGAGTTCAGGACCTACGACCGGACCCCCCCCAAAAAAGAGAAACATTGAAAAAATAAAATTAAAATAGAAGAACTATGGCTAAGAAAAGATGTACCTCTAAAATATGAGCATTTCTGAGCAGGCTGATTTCAGTTGACGGTAATGATGATTTTCTAATACTCAACTGGTTATCAGTTAATCAGTGGGTATCTTCTTCAGGTTCAACTATTTTCTGTCAAGGAGTTTGGGTTCCTTTATGAACTTAAGACATTCTCTGCCCAGCTACAATGAACATTTAAAAAAATTCTCTTAGCATATCAGCCTCATGCATTTGCCCTTTTCTTCACCCTGGAATCACTCACTCTTGAAAATTCCTACTAATCTTTGCAAACTAGGGACACACACTGGCTTCTCTTTGAATGAATAGTAAAACCTTGACTTAGAACCAAACTCCCCTATTTATGAAATATGTGGCCAGAGCAAGTTACCTAACCTTCCTGTTTCTTCATTTGTACTGACAGTACCGACTACAAGGCCTTGTTTAAATATAAATGAGCTACTATGTCTAAGGTGCTACTTACCTGAGATATATTACATGCTCAAAAACGATTTGCCTTAATTATCTTGAATCATTCTCTTCTTAGCTAGTTACATGTATGACTTTTGTGAACACAGATCCTGAACTACTTCTATTACATAATTTAACATATTTCTCTCTACATATCCACATCTCTTTCCTCCAAGAAATGAGCGCTTTACAGGTGCTTTTGATTGTGTGAGTTATTAGAATGAATGTTGAGTAAAGGAATGAACTAGTGTGCAAAGACAAAAGGACTTAGACTAAAGTTACGAGGAAACAGAACATGTCAACCAAAAAAGATATGTAAAAAGAGCATCAAGCTTTAGCAATCAAAGTGAAATAAAAATTTTATTTCCAAGTTTCCTAGTCTGTACAAGTAAGAAATCATGTAACTGTCATTGATTCAACAAATTAATGTGATAAATACACTACGACAGTGATGATCAGAGTTCTCACCTTTATAAAGACAGCATTCTACTGGAGAGAATAAGAAAACGAACATTAAAAGATATGTGTAAGAAGTGTACAAAGCTGGGTGCTGGTGGCTCACACCTATAATCCTAGCTACTCAGGAGGCTGAGAATGGAGGATTGTGGTTTAAAGCCAACTCAACAATGCTTGATAAGAAATGTACTCATGAGAAGTACAAAGCTGGTCGACAGGGTAAAGATAGAGGTAGAGACAGATAGGATCTCTGCATAAATGGGATAATTAAAGGCCTTAAAAAAGAAATGCGAATAGAAAAGATCAACAGAAACATTAAAGAGACCGATAAGAGACAGCATCGTAAGGAACATATACAATTAGAAAACATAGAAAACAGAAATGATTTCAAAGACATATGTCTAGAATGCTCACTAAATATTTCCTGTTAGCAATCAGTAAAGAAGTTTGTGGGCTGGGAATGTGGCTTAGTGGTAGAGTGCTTGCCTAGCATGCATGAAGGCCTGGGTACAATTCCTCAGTACCACATAAACAGAAAAACCTGGAAGTGGTGCTGTGGCTAGTGGTAGTATGCAAGTGGTAGAATGCTAGTCTTGAGCACAAAGAGGCTCAGGGACAGACTCTAGGCCCTGAGTTCAAGCCCCAGGACTGGCAAAAACAAAAACAAAAAAAAAAAGTTTGTAAATTTTTATTCAAGGGTAGTGCTTTGAGGCTTGGACTTTAATAATGCCCCATGTCACTATACCTGAATGGAGTGAGACAAAGAAAAAAGAGGACCAATACTTGGTATATCCACATTTTCAGAGATATAATTTCCCTAAGATGAGGCTGTTTCCAATGTGTGCTTGCACAGAGCATGGACACAGAACGTTTCAAAAATACTTAGTAAACAAAGATTTGCTTTAAATCACATATAACTAAAAAATGCTTTTCTATACCAGTACTTAAAATCTTACCGTAGTAATGTCTGGATTGTAGTCATCGATCTGTTCAAAAGTATTTATATCTTTATTTCCAAGTGCTATTTGAAGAGCTACTGCATCATCCACATACCTAGGTTGGTAAGATTAAGGAAAAATGTCTTTGTTGACAACCAAATGTTACTGTACTAAAATAGAAAATTATTTTCTATTGTCAAGAGAAGATCTTAAGAAGTTGAGGATTTAAATAAATCTTACTTACGTAAGTACTATTATAAACGACAGGTATAGTTTGCTGTCTCTATGTATCCTTGCAGGAGTTAGCCAACTTGTGACACAAAGCCCTGGGTCACCACTTTCTCCTCTTCAAAGGGAGATAGGAAAAAAGTCCTGTCTACCACTTAAGTAACTAAGAGCTCTATCTTAGTCCTTCCCAAGGCCACTGGCCATGAAGGCCATGGGAAGGCATTCTTTCAATGGTGCATTCACCTGCCCAGTACACCCCTCCATACCACAAGGAGTTCTCTCACATGCCACCTTGGGAATGTGCACCATAAGTAAATGACCTAGTGACTGTACCTGTCAAGTCAGTCAAAGTCATTACATGCTCAGCAGGTAAGCCTCAGGTTTACAAAAACCTAGTCTAAAATTTCACTAGCAAGATAATTTAAATGAGCAATCATGGTATTTTTACTATGACAGAGAAGCAAAAAATAATCTGCAAGTTTTTACTACCAGTATCCTTAGAAATATAATGGTTTTGTCCACCACCACTACTACTAATGAATAAAGAAGCATAAAGTTCAACCACAGTGGTTCATAAAGGATACTTCCCAGCGTAACTTAGTGTTTCAGGATCAACGTCATCTTCATAGGCGTTCAGAGGGACAAGTTTCCTTTGGACAGGATCAAAAACTAGCTGATAAAGGAAAGTATTATTGGCTCGAATAAATCCTTCGATGTAATCCTCTGGTACTGTTATATTCATCTTGAGATACTGGCCAATTTTCTTGATAACCTAATAATGGATATAAAAATATTTCATCTGCAATTAAAGATGCATCAACCTCAAGATTAACACTTTCACATTAGAGGAGAATGAGCAGAGACCATAAAAAACAAATTGCTTTTATCAACATAAAAAATTACTTTCATTAGTCAGGCACCAGTGGCTCATGCTTGTAATCCTAGCTTCTCAGGAAACAGATCTGGGGACCAATGTTTGAAGCCATTTTGAATTTCTTTTTTTTTTTTTTTTGGGTCCGGTCATGGGGCCTGAACTCAGGGCCTGGGCACTGTCCCTCAGCTCTTCAGCTCAAGGTTAGCACTCTACCACTTGAGCCACAGCGCCACTTCCGGCTTTTTTCTTTTTGCTTATATGGTGCTGAGGAATCGAACCCAGGGCCTCAGGCATGCAAGGCAAGCGCTCTACCACTGAGCCACCTTCCCAGCCCTGAAGCCATTTTGGTAGGAAAGTTCATGAGATACTCTGTAACCTCTCACCTCCAGAAGTGGAGGTGTAATTCAAGTAGTAGAGTGTTAGCCTTGAGCAAAACAACCAAAAGAAACAAAACCAAAGAAATAACTCAAAGTCCCAGGACATTCACACACATAACTACATATACATATACGTATACGTATACATGCACACACAACTAAAAAAAAAAAACCGGTATCAGCAAACACCCATATCATAGCATTTTAAATTCTCATTTTTTGGTTTTTCTCTTATTAACCCAAAAGACCCAAATTCAACCATGCATTAAGTTTGTTTCTAACCATGACATAAAAGTACATAATTCATCCTCAGGGTCTATTAAATCCAGAAAACAAAAAATAAATATGAAACCTAAAAACAAAATCTTAGTTTTTTGTTTTTTTTTTTTTGTCGGCCGTGGGGCTTGAACTCTGGGCCTGGGCGCTATCCCTCAGCTCTTCAGCTCAAGGCGAGCGCTCTACCAGTTGAGCTACAGCGCCACTTCCGGTTTTCTGGTGGTTTATTGGAGATAGGAGTCTCACGGTCTCTCCTGCCCGGGCTGGCTTTGAACCGCTATCCTCATATCTCAGCCTCCTGAGTAGCTAGGATTACAGGCGTGAGCCACCAGCACCCGGCTTAGTTTTTGTTTTTTGATAGTACTGGGTTTTTAATTCAGGACTTAGCGCTTGCTAAGCAAATGCTCTCTCCCTCTTTGCTTTCTTTTTCAAATAGTATCTCATATTTTGACCTAGCCTAAACTTAGCCTGTGATTATGTCTTCCCACTTATGTCTTCCACATAGCTGGGATTACAAAATCAAACCACCACACCCAGCTTTAGTAGGTGAGAGGGGGATCTCACTTTTTATCCAGACATGCCTCAAACCGCTATGCCCCCAATTGCTAGGCATGAGCCACTACACTTGGTTAGATCCTATTTTTAAAAGTCAACATTCTAATTTCTGTTACGATGGTCTCTTACGGCTGGAATACTAAACATCACCCAGTCACTGACTGCACAATGTTTTGATCTGTAACAGAGTGCTATACAAATATGGCCCTATAGACTATGCCGCACCATCATAATCTGTGTAACACAACCCCATCATTAAGCAACACGTAACTATATTACACTCACAGACAAAGGGAAGTTCTAGAGACCACAGACTAGTGAACCCTATTTCTTGACTCCCTTCTGGGCCTTTATCTATAACCTAGAGTTCAATTATACTCACTATATTTATCCCTGAAAACCCATGTTGAGTACTCTGTACTCTTGGAAATAGAATATGAAGTTTCTCCTCTGTAACTTTAAATGTTTTAAGAAAACTATCAAAGGGAGGTGGAGAATAAGCTTTATTACTTTTTTTCCTTTTAAGGTAAAGGTACCAGAGAAACTCTGGTAATGTTTGAGTTCCCCAGTGGATCTGTAATAGCTGATATCAAATGAGATGAATAGAAATATACAGGAGAATCTTGCAGTCTTTATGAAGTCATGTTTGATGTGCATTAAATGTATAACTCCTCTGATAAATTTTAAGTTTTGGAAAATATGGTTATTTTCATGCAAGTGTATATTTTATGTTAAAGTATATGTTTAGCCGGGCGCTGGTGGCTCACGCCTGTAATCCTAGCTACTCAGGAGGCTGAGATCTGAGGATCGCGGATCAAAGCCAGCCTGGGCAGGAGAGACCTTGAGACTCCTATCTCTAATAAACCACCAGAAAACCAGAAGTGGCACTGTAGCTCAAGTGGTAGAGCGCTCGCCTTGAGCTGAAGAGCTGAGGGACAGCGCCCAGGCCCAGAGTTCAAGCCCCATGACTGACCAAAAAAAACAAAAAACAAAAACAAAAAAAAAAGTATATGTTTATCCTTAAGTTTAAGTGAGTTAATTTTTTTTTTTTTGGTCCAGTTGTGGGGCATGAACTCTGGGCCTGAGCACTGTCCCTCAGCTCTTCAGCTCAAGGCTAGTGCCCTACCACCTGAGCCACAGCACCACTTCCGGTTTTTTTCTTTTTGCTTATGTGGTGCTGAGGAATCGAACCCAGGGCCTCAGGCATGCAAGGCAAGCGCTCTACCACTGAGCCAACTTCCCAGCCCCTAAGTGAGTTAATTTAAACTTTATTTTAATTTCTAATTTAGTGAATATAATTACCTATAATATGCATAAAAATTATTAAAATAAGCTTTTTTTTTTCTTTGCTGGTCCTGGGGCTTGATCTCTGGGCCTACAATCAGCTTTTAAAATCATAGAGATTTTTACACCAAAATATTTGAGAACTGCTACTACCCGACAATAGGACAAAAATCACAAGATTCTGAACTTAGCATTAATTCTATCCCAGTTCTTTGTCCTTAAATCTAGTCTTTATTTTAAAAATTACCATGAATTTGTTAGCTGCTGAAAAAATTGTCCTTGCAACATCTATTGGTTGTTAAAAGCAAAGTTCTAGCATTTTTGTCATTTTTCTCCTTGTAATAGCATTAACACAGACTTTTTATATCATTGAGTATTAAACTTTATCACCTAAACATCTGAATGCTTCAGAAATTGGTAGCTCTGGTAAGTCACTCTTACCTTTACAATATCTGGATTGTTAGCCAGTCTGAGTACTTTGCATGCCTTTGCCAATCCAATTCCACGCAGAGATGAGAGGTAGTCACAGCCTGAAAGAATACACATGTAACGAAATTTCTCTTCAGTGAATACATCTCCAAGCTGCTTGCACATTCCTAGCCGAGCCTGATCAATCTCTAGGCCATTTCCAAACTGGTCCATTTTTAAAATCACCTTCAAAAAGAGATGAAATTGTTAATATTTGTAGAGAGGTCACTTTGGTTCATCATTATCTAATCAACGGTTAATAATCTTAAGAAAATTTTCTCTTTCTGAAAATAGCACTGAGATCTAGGAGGCATAGACAGGCAGCTTGATTACTATGAAATCTGCAAGTAAACTGATGCACAGAGCTAGACTTACAAGGGATACAGCCAGGATCTGAGTGTCCCAAGTAGGATAAATAAAGCCCTTTTTCCACCTGTCTACCTTCACTGTAGAGCTGTCATGATAATAAATAGTAATACATACAAAAAGCACTTTGCCATATCTTATTTGACATTTTAAGGTAAATAATCTTTCCTCATTAATGAACTAATACACATTTATGGCATGAACACTGGGATACATTGAAACTCAAGAAAAAAGCAGAAACTGTCATGTCTCACTATCAGATCAGTTACTCCCTATTAACCTCTTGATATGGATACTTCTAGTCAGCTATGAACATATGGACACAATAAATATTATAGTTATTAATACTACAGTTTCATATCTTAATTTCTCCTCTTATTATCATACTAGAGTTTCCATATAGTTTTTATTTATTTTGGTAGTATGAAGGTTTGAACTTAGGGCTTTGCATATACTCAGCTTGCTTGCTTCAATGGTGAGCTACCATCTAAATCACACACCTAGCACTACTTTTTGCTGGTTATTTTAGAGATAGAAAATTAGTATCTTTTCTGCCCAGACTGGCTTTGAAACTTAATCGTTTGGCTCTCAGCCTCTTAGCTAGGATTCTTTCTCTCCATCCAGCCATCTTGGCTGCTGCTTCCAGTTGGGAGCCTTCTCGCATTTAAGACAGGAAGATGGTGGCCACACAGAAGACCAAAAGTCTCTAGAGTTGATCAAATCTAGACTCCAACTTGTTATGAAAAGTGGAAAGTATATGCTGGGTTACCAGCAGACTCTGAAGATGATGAGACCTGGCAAAAGGAAATTGGTTATCCTTGACCACAACTGCCCAGCCTTGAGGAAATCTGAAATAGAATATCATTCTGTTTGCCAAAACTGGTGTCCATCACTACACTGGCAATAATATTGAACCGGACATGGCACGTGAGAAATACTACAGAATATACACTGGCTATCATTGATATAGGTGATTCTGATATCATTAGAAGCATGCCAGAACATATTGGAGAAAAGTAAATAGTACATAATTCCTCTTTAATAAAACTTGCTAGAGCTGGTTTAAAACCAAAACAAAAAGTAGCTAGGATTATAGGTGGCAACTACTGGGGCTTAGCTCTGTTACAATTTTATAAATAATCTAAGTATCTATATAACATTCCATTAGTAAATAAATCCATTAATTTGCCTAACTTAATTGAAAAGTATCTAAGATATGTATCATCATTTTTTTTTTTGCTTTAACTCTGGGCCTGGGCACTGTCCCTCAGCTCTTCAGCTCAAGGCAAGCACTCTACTACTTGAGCCACAGAACCACTTCCAGTTTTCTGTTGGTTAAGTGGAGCTAAGAGTCTCATGGGCCTTCTTGCTGGGGTTAGCTTTGAACTGTGATGCTCAGATTTCTGCCTCCTGAGTAGCTAGCATTACAGGCATGAGCAACCAGTGCCTGGCTTGTATCAACATTTTCAAAAAAGTAAAATTTTAAGTGTGCTACCAAAAAATTTATAGACTAAGGATATAGTTCAGTGATTGAGCTCTTTCCTTGCATGTGTAAGGACATGGGTTCCATTCCAGAAGACAGGCAGGCAGGCAAGCAGGCAGTCAGGCAGGCAGGCAGGCAGGCAGGAAGGCAGGCAGGCAGGCAGGCAGGCAGGAAGGCAGGCAGGCAGGCAGACAGACAGACAAACCAGACAGACAAGACAAACAAGAAGTGGGGGGGGGGGGGAGAGGGAGGCAGGGAAGGAGGGAGGGAGGGAAGGAGGGAGAAAAAGTTTTAAAACTTTTTCACAAGAAATGGTAAGGAAGTTTTAAAACAAAATTTTCACAGGAAATGGAAACTTTTTCACAGGAAATGGAAAGAATGAAGGAACAAATGAAAGAAAAAAAGAAAGGAAGAAGAGAAAGGAAAGGAAAAGGGAAAGGGCTTACTCTAATAAAGTAGTCAGGTCACTTAACATGAAGCTGCAAACCTTTCTGCATATTTTACATAATAACAAATATTGCTTAGGCAAATGAACACTTAATAGATACAAATTGAAGCTATTAAATAAAATACTGCAGGAATAATTTTAGTTCCTTGTTTTACTGCTTTAAAATTTTGTTTTTGTTTTTTTAAATTTTGAATTAGCAGGGCGCCTGTAATCCTAGCTACTCAGGAGGCTGAGATCTAAGGATTACGGTTCAAAGCCAGCCTGAACAGGAAACTCCATGAGACTTTTTTTTTTTTTTGGGTCCGGTTGTGGGGCCTGAACTCTGGGCCTGGGCGCTGTCCCTCAAGTCTTCAGCTCAAGGCTAGCGCTCTACCACTTGAGCCACAGCGCCACTTCCGGCTTTTTTCTTTTTGCTTATGTGATGCTGAGGAATCGAACCCAGGGGCTCAGGCATGCAAGGCAAGCGCTCTACCACTGAGCCACCTTCCCACCCCTCCATGAGACTCTTATCTCCAATAAACCACCAGAAAACTGGAAGTGGCACTATGGCTCTAGTGAGAGGGCTCACCTTGATCTGAAGAGCTCAAGGACAGCACCTAGGTCCAGAGAGTTCAAGCCCCACAACCAACTAAAACTAAAACTGTTATTATAAATGTAATAGAGGGAATACATTTATGTAAGTCAGAATACATCTTTTGGACAATGTCACCTGCTCAAATTATAGTTAGTACAAAGTCTTGCCATGTAGCCCGGGCTAGCCTGGAACTCACTATCCTCCTGTTCACCCCCCAAGTGCTGAAACTGTAGGCATGTCCAGATAATTTAACATAACTTCTATCCACATAGAAAAGATAGGGGTGAGGCATAGAGGCAGAACACCTGCCTATCACATACAAGTTCCTGAGTTAAAAAATTAGGATGTAGTAATTTCAGGCGAATACCTTCTTACAGCCAAATGCTAAAAGATCAGAGTCTTCTGTAATGACCGCTTGTACAATGCCAGCTTTGTTAAGATAGGCCAACTGAGCATCCGCTTCATATGGAGCCACAAGGCAATCAACTCCCTGAGACCGGGCAGCCTGCGAGAGAGACCACAGTAAACCTTCAGCACAGCACCCACGGGGCCCCGAACAAGATCTGCAGCAGGCTCATTTTACAACTAGCCTCACTGTGACTTGCTGGCCTCTTTAAGTTTCCTATTTTTTGGTTATAGCAAAGTTCATACCAATCACACAGCCATTAAGCAAAGTCTTAAAAAAAAAACCAAGAACACAAAAAACAAACCAGCCAATAAATATAAAGACAAACTGCTACATATTCCAAAATGGGAAAATGCCTGAGCCACAAATAAAATTAGTTCAAATCATAAAAAACGACCATTTTAAGAATGGCTCTGTTACCATAGTATACAGACATTGGAGTTTTGCATATATTTTCCCATTAGAGGCATTCATAAAAATATATACACTAAATTCTATTTTAAAATCAGGGGAAATACTTTTAGAACAATTGCTTATCAGGAATCTGAAAACAAATTTCTTGTTCCAAATTCTGGGTATTTGCATCCAAGGCCCAAGGAACTCCCTCAGGAAGTTAAGGAAAGGCAAAAAAGAATGAAGATGCTACTACTGTTAGGTTTTTGTGACCACATAGAGTCCGCTGTTTTTCTCCTGTCCTTTTCTTTTATAGCAATGTCCTCCTCGCAGGCACTAGTGACTCATGCCTATAATCCTATTTACTCAGGTGGCTGAGATCTGAGGACCACAAGTATGAAGCCAGCCCCAGCAGCAAGAAAATCTGAGACTCTTATCTCCAATTAATTACCCCAAAACCAAAGTGCAGCTGTGGCTCAAAGTGGGCACGCTAGCCTTGAGGAAAAACAAAAAACAAAAAAACTCAAGGACAGTGTCTAGGCCTATTTCAGGCTCCACAACTGACAAATAAAAAATAAATAAGAGAATTTCAGTTCTTGTTTTAGGTTAGAAACTGGATGGCAGGACTGAATGCTAAAAAAGTTGAGCCCCACCCCCTTTAAAACTACACTTGTACTAATCATAATGAACAAGCCTAGCCAAGGGATAACTCGGGAGTGAGAGCGCAGACCATCGACACTAAGATTTAGGGTGACGAGGAAAGAAGTATCTAAGTAGGAACTGATTAAGAGGCGTGCAAACCTCTGAGAATCTGTCCTTCTCTAAGGAACAACACACGGGTGGAGTTTATCGATACACATTCCTTACCTCAAAAGAGCCTTACTTATCGTTTTAGAATTTCTCCTCTGGAAACTATTGGGACTCTTCTGCCTCTACTCTATTTGAGGTTAGATCAATTTTCCTCCGATGATTTCCTTGCCCTTCCATAAATAAACAGCTTATGTGAACTTAATCGTCTGTTGCAGCTTTCCTTTTCATTGGCTTACTTTGATTACTTTGTGGGCCATAGCATGTGTGATGTTGACGGCACGGGTAAAACATTCTCGGGCTTCTGAGACTTTCCCCTCACGAAGAAGCTGCTTTCCCTTAAGAAGATTGCTTTGTCGTCTTCTGCAAGGGAAGAATATCTCTCTTTAATGTATAAGAAATTACAGAAACTGATTTAAAAAAAAATCACAAAACAAAACTGTAATTAATGTCATGTTGCTAGAATGAAGACAATTGATTCATTTGAAAATGAATATACATTAGATGCTTGGAAATATTAACCCAGATCCTATGGGATTCTAGACAAAAAGAACAAGTGATTCATGACATTTACATTTGTGTGCACGCACGTTTACTGTCAGACTTCTACAACAATGCATAATGTCAAAACAAAGTGAATAGCTAATTTATTTTATTTTATTTTTTGGTCGGTCATGGGGCTTGAACTCTAGGCTTGGGCGCTGTCCCTGCGCTCTTCAGCTCAAGGCGAGCACTCTTGAGTGCTTGAGCCACAGTGCCACTTCCAGTTTTCTAGTGGTTTATTGGAGATAAGAATTTCACAAACTTTCCTGCCCAGGCTGGCTTTGAACCGCGATCCTTAGATCTCAGCCTCCTTAGTAGCTAGGATTACAGGCATGAGCCACCAGCGCCCGGCTAGCTAATATATTTTAAAGGCTGCAATAATCTAACACAAACACTAAAGGAAATCTGTTCATGTAATAGGCTATAAACACATTTCAAAAAATTAAGACTTTAAAAACTTGGTATTATTTGGCCTGTAGTATCTGGCCTTAGCACAATGAAGTTAGATGTTAATCAAACCAACTTACTCTCTTCTAGATCTTTCCACTTCCTTTTTAGAAGGTAAAGTACATCCATCAAATATAAGAATAGGCTTGATCCCATGAGACAGTAGCATATTTACGAATTTCATACAAAATCCTACATACCTACATGGAAAAAGAAAAAAGAAAAAAACAAATTTAAGAGCTTTGCATCTCAATATTTTAAGAACAGATGAGACAGTTTGGGGAAAGTATTTCGTTTTGTATTTTAAAACCTTCTCACAGGAAATGAAAACTTTAACTTAGACCTGGGTTCACATCCATCTTTTATGATCCTCCAAGCCTTGATTTCTGCATCTATGAAATAGAAGGGTTTGAAATCCTTTCTGATTCTTTTTTTTTTCTTTTGGTCAGTCATGGGGCTTAAACTCTGGGCCTGGGCGCTGTCCTTGAGCTCTTCAGCTCAAGGCAAGCGCTCTACTACTTGAGCCACAATGCCACTTCTGGTTTTCGGTGGTTAATTGGAGATAAGAGTCTCACAGACTTTCCTGCCTGGGCTGGCTTTGAACCACAATCCTCAGATCTCAGCCTCCTGAGTAGCTAGGATTACAGGCGTGAGCTACCAGCATCCAGCTTGATTCTGATATTTTTATTGTTCCAAATCTACTGAAAACCTGAAAGAATAATAAACACTTGATTTTTCCAATAATATGCTATCATAAACAGGAAATTTAACAGTGACACAATAGTATTACCTAATAGTCTACACAAAGAATTTGTCTAGCTGGATGTGGTGGCTAGCGCCTACAATCCTAGTTACTTGGGAAGTAGAAGTTAGGGGAATCTGTTTGAGGCATGGGCATCAAAGTTTGTAAGACTCCATTTACACCAAGAGCTGGGTGGCATGTGTTTGTCATCTCCAGTGATGGGAGTTGTACAAGTAGAAGGATGGCAGTCCAGGGAGCTTGGGCATAAAGCAAGACTCTATCTTGAAAATAGCAAATACAAAAAAAGGCCCAGGCTGGGAAGGTGGCTCAGTGGTAGAGCGCTTGCCTTGCATGCCTGAGGCCCTGGGTTCGATTCCTCAGCACCACATAAGCAAAAAGAAAAAAGCTGGGAGTGGCGCTGGGGCTCAAGTGGTAGAGCACTAGCCTTGAGCTGAAGAGCTGAGGGACAGTGCCCAGGCCCAGAGTTCAGGCCCCACGACCGGACCCAAAAAAAAAAGGTATGGCACAAGTGACAGAGTGCCTGACAAGGCCTTTGTTGAAAGTTCCAAATATTTCTTTTACTTCAATGAACATTTACTAAACACCTACTATAGGGAAAGTACTGTGGATTCCATTGCTTGCCTTGTAATGATGAAGGCTATTACCTGTATTATTAACAACTCTTCTAATCAGTCAAAAATCAGAATTACACCAAAAAAACTGAAGAAATTCGCAGGAAGAAAATATCAAAAAACACTCAAAGTAGCAATGAAAAACTTGTAGTCTAGCTACAGTTGCTAGTTTGTTCAAAGTACTAGTAGAAACAAAATTACTTTCAATGCATTTTCTTAGACGAGATAGTCCAGCAGGTGCTTAGCATCCATGAAGCCCTTTCATTCCCAGCACCTCCCATCGCCACATTTCAGCAGCTAGAGTGGAAGAAGAACCCAGTCTCCTCAGATGCTACAAATATTATTGTTACAGGTACTTTTGACTTTGTTAACTTGACAGGCCTCAAAGGCCCAAACATTTGTTTAGTCCATGACTAGACCTTTTCCTGAAAACAAGCAGGATTAACATAATTTACCTACTTGGTCTTATGTTTAAGTAAATCATGTTAAGATCTGTGAGTTTTCCCTCCAAGAAATAAATTACATATTGTGAAAGAAAACAAATCATCATACTGACTAAATCTCTGTGAAAATATCTGTCAAGAAATTATTCTTAATACTTCTACTTGAACAATAGAGGGCATTAGCCTAGTCAACCTGCCTCAAATGACGTCACATGGCTGAGAATGGATGTCAGCATGGACTGTAAGTTGAAAGAAGTCAGAATATACTATTCTTGTGCTTCATTTTGGCAACATTTAGCAGTGTGTTGACTGTACCCAAAAATCATTATGGATTTTTCAAACCATTGTCAAAATGCTTATCTTAGGTGAAGATTAAAGTTGATACTGGGAGCCAGCATCTATCTATTCAGGAGGCTGAGATCTGAGGATCATGATTCTAACTAGACAGCAGGAAAGTTCATGAGACTCTTACCTCCAACTAACCAGCAAAAAGCCAGAAGTAGAGCTGTGGCTCAAATGGTAGAGCACCACCCTTGGGTGAGAAAACTAAGGGACCGTGCTCAGGCCATAAGTTCAAGCCATAGCACCTGCACAAAAATAAACAGAAAAAGAGGGGGGGGGGGATAGGGAGGGAGGGAGGGAGGGAGGGAGGTAAAAAGAGAGAAAGAGAAAAAGAGAAAGAGGAAAGCAGGAAGGAAGGAAGGAAGATTAGTTGATAATTCTTCATCTTTCTCCATTACTGTCCTGATATTTTGGCTTATTACTAAGAATAAAAATCCTATATCATAGAAAGATGTGTAGAAATATTTTTTTTTGGGGGGGGGGGGGCCGGTCGTGGGGCCTGAACTCTGGGCCTGGGCACTGTCCCTCAGCTCCTTCAGCTCAAGGCTAGCGCTCTACCACTTGAGCCACAGCACCACTTCCGGCTTTTTTTCTTTTTGCTTATGTGGTGCTGAGGAATCGAACCCAGTGCCTCATGCATGCAAGGCAAGGGCTCTACCATTGAGCCACCTTCCCAGCCCAGATGTGTAGAAATATTCTAAAGCACACATTCTCATTTCTTAATAAACATCTAGAATTGAAGGAGAACAACCCATTTATGAGAAAAAGTCTTTTTTTTGGCCAGTCCTGGGGCTTGAACTCAGGACCTAGGCACTGTCCCTGAGTTTCTTTTGCTCAAGGACAGCACTCTATCACTTGAGCCACAGCATAATTTCCGGCTTTTTCTTTTTATGTGGTACTGAGGAATTGAATTGAGGGCTTCATGCATGCTAGGCAATCACTAAGCCACCTTCCCAGCCCCAAACAGTCATTCTTAATCCCAAAGAATTATCATATCCAACCTTACCTATCAGTAGGTTCACCTTTGGCTAGCTTTTCAGCACATGCAATAGCTCCTTTGTGAAGCCAGCAATAGGTATCCACAGCTACTACCTGCCCTTTATACTTCCGCACATGGATAGGTTCAGAAGCTTCTTTGATGAACTGTAGCAATCCTTGTATCCCCATAGTGCCAAACTAACTACATGATATGAAAGGGAAAATAGCAATATTTAAAGCAAAATATATTTACTAAAAAGTGTTACGCAGTTTAAATTACTACACAGAAACTTATTATTTAATCTAATATCAAATTACTACACAGAAACTGTTATTTAATCTAATATCAATGTCAGTTTCCATAGCCTAGATGTTATATTAATCATGAACACTACCTTAATGCCACCTAATAGTTGCTTAATGTATTTTTTTCAGCAATCTGATGGTTTTATTAAACATTTGAGAAACTCAGTGCCAGAAATTAAAAGTGTAACCATTGGTCCAAAGTGCTTTTACTTAGAATCATAATGTGTGCTTCAAGTTATTAACACAGGGATTCTACAAAAATTAGAATCTCCTCTTTCTTCGACAAGGCATAAGTTTAAAAAAAAAATCTATGGGAGTGGGGAGTAAAGGAGGTGCAGAAAGGGAGGGAGTGAGGGAGGGTGAACAAATGCAATTATGATGTTCAGTTATACTACATGGAAAATGATCTATGTAACTTATGGGCAGGGATGGGGGGGGGGGGGTGAGAAACTGGGGGAAAGTAGAAGGGGTGACATTACTCCCAAAAAGAAATGTACTCATTACTTCACCCATGAAATGGTAGCCCCTCTGTACAACACCCTATTAATAAAATTATTGCATCAAAATGCCATCATACAAAGTTACACAGAGATACAACCTCAGAAATTTGTAGAAAAGCAAGTAGTTCAACTGACAATAAACAGAATCACAGAATCGCAGGAATGGACTTTTACTGTTTGAGGACTGAAATGTATTACCATCCAAGTAATGGATATTTTCTAATACTTGGTGATAATGCCTCAGGACACTTTGAAAATCGATCCCAGAGACCTGGGAAACTGTTGCTGTGCAAAGTTCCAAGAAAAACGATTGGAAATCACAGGTTCAGAGGAAGCCAATCTTACCCCTGGAGACACAACAGGAAGCACTGATGCTCAGGTCCAGCAGTTCTCAAGTTTCGGGATTCACAAGTTTTCAGCTCCCAGTTCCAGAGGTGTAGGAGGTGGCTGGATTTTACACATGCAGGCAATTCGGATGCACGTGATCCTCAAGCCACAGTCCGAGAAAACCAATTAGTCCACTACCTTTGCGATAATACACCTCCTAACAAGGTATTTGTTCACGCTGAGGAAAATGGACATACTATGTGTTTGGTGAAACTTGGGTCCGTTTCTTCTAGGCCAACTAAATATTCTCGAGTAATTATCTCCTCTTCAGCACCGAAAGAGCGAGTGAGCGCCATGTGGCACAGATCAGCTCCAGGCGATCACTCGTAGCGACCACAGCAGCCACTTTCCAGCCGGGGATGTGCGGGGCGAGGGCGGCCCCAGCCGGGGATGCGCGGGGCGAGGCGGCCCCAGCCGGGGATGCGCGGGGCGAGGGCGGCCCCAGCCGGGGATGCGCGGGCGAGGCGGCACGCCGGGTCCGGACGCCGTGTTCCCTCGGGCCTACAGCAACGAAAACGTGTGATCGTCACCCACCTGCCAGTGTGGGGCCTGCGGGTGGCAGCGAGCGGCCGGCTTCGGCGGGAAGGCGGGAGAAGTTCCCGCGGAATCACGTCCCGCACGGGGCCCTGGGGCTGGGGGCTGTCCCGCAGGCCCGGGAGGACCGCGCCACTAGGCTCCCGTCCTCCCCGAGCCCCGGATTCTGCGCGGAGGGACACGCGACGGCGAGCGGGACCCCGCGGGGACCGGCGGGAGCCCCCGCTTCAGACCCCACACCCTTCGCTTTCCGGGAAGCCCTTTCTCCACACGATGGAGGGAGACCCCCCCCCTGAAAACCGCTCGCGACTTCCCTCACTCACTTGGGCCAGAGCAACCAGGCCGGAATCGCGGCGCCCAGGTACCTCCGAAGCGGCTCTGCACCCCAAAACGCCAAGTCCATTCAATTTGCGCGGGATCGCTGTGCCCCACCCACCGGAAGTGACGCCAACACGCACGCTGCGACGCCGATCTCTCTCTCCCACCCCCATTCCCCCGTTCATCAGTTTTGAGCCTTCTGTGTCGCTAATTCTGTTGCTTCCCGAGCTAAGGCGTCGCTGTCTCTGTCCGCTAAAACCATTCGCAGTTCTGTGAAGAGGGGAACGGTCCAGAGAAACGAGACTGGAGAAGGGAACCGGAAGTTGGAAGTGTGCCACTCTCCCTGAGCCTTCTGGGAATTGTAGTTCTCTGCACCTCAGAGCTGGCAGCGTGAACAGCGCTGCCCCGCGGTAGAGGTGATTTTTGTTGATTTAAACCTCTCCAGAGAGCCCCGCTGAAATCAGTGTCCAGGGCTACTCACCCCTCACATTTCTACATTCCCTTTGAAATGGCCAGTTACTTCCGTGAGGAATAGTGTGATGATTAGCATCTGTCGGTGCTTTATGTAGTAGTGCTGATTGTTTTACTTTTAAATAACCAAACAATAAAACGATCCTGTGGTGCCCACACTTTAAAGACACTTTGGACGTAAGCGGCCACTGGCAGTTTGCGGGGGGCGAGGCGGCATGCGGAGAAGTTCTGATAATGTTACTAAGGAAAAGACGAAATCGTCGTGCCGACTTCACTCGCTTTTCATTTACTTTGTGTCAGCCCGAACTCTGGACCTGGGCGCTGTCCCTCAGCTCTTCAGCTCAAGGCTCCTGCTCTACCACTGGAGCCACAGCGCCCCTGACAGTTTTCTCATGGTTAATTGGTGATGAGTCTCATGCACTTTCCTGCCCGGGCTGGCTTTGAACCGCGATCCTGAGATCTCAGGCTCCTGAATAGCTAGGATTACAGGCGTGAGCCACCGGTTCATTTACTTTTTTAAAAAATCACTAATGTTTTAAGCCATCTGAAAAAGACAAAGCTAGTCTTTGTATTTTGATCTTTGTAATACAAAGCTGGTCTCTCACTAGTTTTGCCATAAAAGACACCTCTGACTGTAGAAGCATCTGTTGTTCAAAGACTGTTGTCCAGACAGCTATCATCTCTTTTCCCCTCCCAAGAACAGTTTTTTTTTTTTTTTTTTAATCTATCCCCTAGGTTTCCAGGGAACAGAATGGCCCTTGTTCTCGGAGGAAAAGATGCTCCTTTCTTTCCTGAAAACTAACTGCAAAATTAAACACTCCTAGGAAAAGGAACTCTAAAGACACAAACCTTGAGACTTCTCCAGAATTACAGAGTCCAGAACAGCTAATGATCTCCATAAATGCTACAAGCTGTGTGAGTGTATCATAAAAGCAACTCTGTGGACATTTGTAACTACCCTATTTCACATGCCTTCCCACAAATCCCTGTGTAAGTCTTGCGCTTGCACTTCGGAGACAAGATGGTCATTGTTGGTCAGGTCGTGCGTCTTTGATTAGAAGTAAATCTTGTTGTCTTTCCCCAACAACTAGTCCTGAGTAACTGGCCTTCAAGTGGCAGGCAGGGAACAGGGTTTCATCGTTTCAGAGCTTGCTCAATATCCTCTTTTCTTTGGAATGTTGTAGAGGGATAGAAATGGGACAGAACCTTAGACTAGATCTTGAGGTATGTTTAAAACTCAGAGGTCAACGGGAAGGATAATTTAAACTCGGTGCAAGGAGAGGAAGAGGAAAATATGAACACATTGTTAACCATGCTTCCTTTATTTTTTTATTTTAAATACCTTTTTACATAGTTCTCTCAGGCTGCTTTTAAAGCCTTTTCACAATTTGCCCAAATCTATAGTGAAATATATTACCTTAAAATTGTTGGAAAACCTGCTAGTTTTGAAGAATATGTTTGAGGGGCCAGGGGAATCTCCCTAGCTGTAATCTTTGCATCTGAAATTAGAAAGGAGAACAGAAAAGTCATTTTTGAATGGCTCTTGGAAACCTCACCCTGTAGCAGCCTGGGGAAGACTCTAAGGGAGGGTGGGGGATTAGTTTTAAACTTCAATAGGTCAAAGAGAACTTAAAGCAAGGGGAAATGTGCTTGTAGAGAAGCTGTTCTTAAAGTCACTAGCCTACTCAATTCTAGTAATTGCTTTAATGCTTTGAGACATACAAAAATATACCATATGTGGGAGTGTTGGGAATTCAGAGATTTAAAAAAAAATAAGGTCCCATTCCTGCTACTTCAAATCCATCATGAAACTTAATAAGCTATTGACTACATACACCCTGTATGTTTATTTTCTTCCTTCCCAAATTTTCCCAACTAGCTTCTTGAGTTCGGGTTTTGAAGGCTGAACTTTAAAAAGAAAATAATAGGTTAGAAAGTTCACTCACTCTAAATTTAAAATTACTTCCTAATTTTAAATAGTCTCTTTTTCTCATGGAAGAGTGCCAGTCCTGGGGCTTGAACTCTGGGTGCTGTTCCAGAGCAGTTTTTCTCAAGGCTAGCATTCTACCATTGGAACTATAGATCTACTTCCAGGTTTTGGTGTTATCAGAGATAAGAGTCTTAAGGACTTTCCTACCCCCTCAGGCTTCGAGCTGTGATAATCAGATCTTAGACTGCTGAGTAATAGGATTACAGATGTGAGCCATTGGTGCTCAGCTGGTCTCTCCTAATTTTATTTTTATTTTTTTCTGGTACTGGGGCTTGAATCTCAGAGTCTAGGTGCTGTCCCTGAGCTGCTTTTTCTCAAGGCTAGCACTCTGCCACTTGAGCCACAGCACCACTTCTGGATTTTTCTGAGTAATTTATTGGAGATAAGAGTCTCATGGACTTTCTTGCATGGGCTGGCTTCACCACTGGCCATCAACACTCTGCTAGCCTCTCCTTTTTTTTTTTAATCAGCTGACAATAGCAACTATCCTCTGTGTAATGTCTCTATATACTCACACTTCTGAAATATACAGCTGGTAACAAAATTTATATTTTAGAGAAACTACCATAATTATGTGGCACTTATGTGGGACTTTTTACATTATTATTATTTATTTTATTTATTTATTTATTTTGCCGGTGTGGGGCCTGAACTCTGGGCCTGGGCGCTGTCCCTGAGCTCTTGAGCTCAATGCTAGCTCTACCACTTGAGCCACAGCACCACTTCCAGCTTTTTATTTATGTGGTGCAGAGAAATAGAACCCAGGGTCTCATGCATGCAAGGCAAGCACTCTACCACTGAGTCACCTTCCCAGCCCTTATGTGGGACTTAATATCACCATTAACATCATCTGTCTATCTAAATAACAAGTTTTATTTTGGCAGCCCTGAATTATAACACTTAATGTTTCCACTTTGTTACCTTTCACATACTGAATATTTAGCAGTCATATCAGTAAAGTCTTTACATTTTTATCCTACTTTTACAAGTGAAACAAAGGGAAGTGTGAAAAGATTTGAACTCAGTGTGGCTTGGCTCCAGAGTCTGTACTTTGAACTACTAGGCACAGTTACCATTTAGAGATAGAAATGTGTCATTAATATGTTCAAAGTTATCTGTTTACTGTTCTCTTTTATAATGATATGTTTTTTAAAACATAATTTTAGAAGAGGAAAGAAACAAACAACTTTTATTTAGAATCTGACATGTCTTTTTCCCCCTCGTGCATTTCTCAAAATAGTTCGAGAAGATAGCTATCAGTGCCCCATTTACAGAAGAAAAACTGAAGCAGAGAGAAATAGGATATCTTGTTATGAACCTAAGGCTATTTCAGGATGCGATACAAGTGTGATTCAAACTACATCTGTCTGTCCAAAAGCCTGTGTTCTTCACTATGACACAGGGGACTGATATTACCCAGGGAATCCTGAGTATCTCAGGAGAAGGAGGAGCACAGATTTTCAGTTTTTGGAAGGCTGAAATGGGACTGTGGAATTAGGAAGACAGGGACACAATTCCAGTGGAGACCTGAGAGATTCTTCTGTAGCACTGGACCACTTTTACTCAACATTCTATCAGAGAAATATGTACATATTACTAAGAGAATCCATAATCATTTTTCTTTTTCATTCATATGTAGAATTCAATATGTAAATGGAAGTTTATTCCTTCTACTATTGATAGAGATCTGAGTTGCTCTCTGGTTGTGTGCATATGTGCCCATCCTGGGGCTTGAACTCAAGCCTGGTTGCTATCCCTGAGCTTCTTTTGCTCAAGGCTAGGAGCTCTACCACTTGAGCCACAGCTCCACTTCCTGCTTTTTTGGTAGTTAACTGGAAATAAGAATTCCACAGTTTTTCCTGCCAGGATGACTTTGAACCATAATCCTCAGATCTCAGTCTCTGGAGTAGCTATGATTACAATTGGAAAAATGTAGGAGAAAGGAAAAGGAATAGGCCCGGGCTCGACCGTCAACAGATGAGGACTTTTAATGAGGAACAGCAAG